CAGGGAGGAGTGTGTCCCCGGTATCTGACTTATCCTCCTGTCAAAGCTGCCTCCCATCCTCTAGGTAAATTCTGGTATGAAGCACTGACAGTTCCAAGCAGGATCTTGGTAGGATGAATTGTGTGACAGGGTAAGGGGGAATCTCAGAGTTAAAACAGTTGAGGTCTGAGCACTGAGGCTTTAGCAGGCCTGATTTGTTAGTGTCTGGGAGGAGAATTAAGAGAATATTTGGCTCAACATGAGCATGCCTGTTAGAAGATGAATCCTATCCTATATTTCTTGGATATTATTATTTTCCATCACCTGTAAGGGGGTGCAAATAGGCACATTGTACATATGCATTTGGCCACTGATCCTGGAGTAGTCCTGGTTCTGAGACCTGGGGGTTTTGGGACATTCCAGGTGCCTTTGGGCATCTAAAGCTCAGCAGGTGTGACACCTGCCTTGCAGAGACCCACAGCCTCCTCGGCAGCAGCTGGAGGCCAGGCCAGGTAACTTCAGGCATCCCAGGTGACATGGAGAGCCTGTGTGGAGCACCTCAATTGCTGCCCTGGCTATGGTTTCTTTGCACTTTATTTATAATGACTTTCCCAAGGCCTAAGGGCTCGGTGATGGGGAGAAGTAGATTTCCCCCCTTGCTGCCTAATTTATCTTCTGGAGTTTTTCTTTCCTTGAAGCACCACGGGCTTGGCTGCAGGATCAGTAGGGATGGTGCCAGTGTGCTCAGTGGTCTGAAGAATGTCTCGGGTCCTGTATCGGTGTTTTCTGCTCAAAACATCCAGTTTCAAACAATTGCTGGAATTTTTTCCCAGGTCATATTGTCAGGATGTAGCAGGATTCCTTTCCTTTCCTGTCTAATGCTGGGGCAGTTCTCTCCCACTTTTTCTGGGAAGCTTTTGCTGGTAAAATTGTGGCTATTGAAGGCGTGGAGGACATTGGTGATGTGCTTGAGCTTTCTTCTTCCCATCTGGAAGTGCACTGCAGGGTTTTTGGACTAGGGGACTTCAGGGTCTTAGTTTTCCAATATTGTCGTGGGAATGGAAGGAGGGATGTTCAGGGTTCCCTCTGGCTGAGCACATCACAGAGCTGCTCACAGCTGCAGGTGCTGGGTTGACATCAGCTCCTCTCTTCCTGTACCCACTGCCAGTTCAGTGCCTGAGCTGTAACTGCACACAGAATATCTTGTTACCCATTATAAAAAAATACTTTGTTACCCGTTATAAAGACCCCCAAGCAAATTGCCACACCTTATTATTTTTAGCATTCTCATTTCTCCCTCAAATCCTCATTACTCATGTCAGAAGATTTTTGTAAACTGGGACCAGCAATTAAAATAAAATGAAATTCCTAATTAAATAAAATAAGCATGTAAGTGAAATTCTCTATTAATCAGTACTTACAGGCTGAAAATCTACATTTGCAGTATTTTCAGTTTATAGCTCAATTTCTTTGACAGTTTTGATGGTTCAGAATTCCAGAAATACAACATTTGTCTTTTTCTGGGTTGAAAGAAGCTGCAGGAAATAGATTTGCAGGTGAAGTTCAAACAAGGTTCCAACCCCTGCTTGGAGTCACAGAATCACAATGTAAGCTGACTTGGAAGGGGCCACACATGGAGCCCAGCTGCTGGCCCTGCACAGGATCATCCCCAGGAGTCCCACCCTGTTCCCAGGAGTGTCCAAATGCTTTTTGAACTCTGCCAGGGAACCTGTTCCAGTGCCCCACCACCCTCTGGGAGAAAAGCCTTTTTTTAATTTCCAACCTCACCCTCCCCTGATCCAGCTGCAGCTCCTCCCTTGGGTCCTGTTACTGGTCACCCCAGAGCGGGGATCGCTGCCTGCTCCTCCTCTTCCTCTCATGAGGAGGTTGTAGAGTGCACTGAGGTCTCCCCTCAGTCTCCTGCAGGTTGTTTTAGGTGCCCCTGATCAAAGAGAATCCAGCCATCAGGGAAGAAGAGAGCTATAACTCTAATAACTGATGTGTGTCAAGGCTCCATAACTCTAATAACTGATGTGTGTCCAGGCTCCTGTCCCTCTGAGGGGAAACCTGACCTTGTGCTCCCTGAGCTCTGGTTAAAACAAACCAAGGCTTAAAGCATGGAATGCCCTACAAAATACATGGAATACATAGTTCTGGAGTAAAAAAATGGCAGGGCGATGTGGCACAGTAAGTAACCCATCTCCTCTTTCCTGAGGCTTGTGAACTGCTCCTCCACCAAATCCAGCCTTGCACTGGGATAATGGACACACTTGGAATGGAGCAAGGCTGGTTAAGAGAGAAGTGAAAAGATGGGAGTTTGAAAGCCAGTTCTGTCTTAGAAACCTCCCTCTGGCACACAAATATCAGTCAGAAGTGGTATGTGATTGCTTACATCTGATTTGGAAAGGAATTGCTTTCCAGACAGTGGATGGCTTGAGCTGGAGAACTGGCCTGGCAGTCAGCAGCTTCATGACACCAAATCTGACCCAGGGCCTCAGAGCTCTGCCAGCTGCAAACAGGTCATCCCAGGGTCTGGAACAGAGCAAAACAAAATTATAAAAATCCATTAACTAAGTGCAGAATCCATCTGAAGTCAGCAAGATGGGCTGTAGCAGGAGAAATTATATTCCTTGTCCTGAACTCAACTCACACCCACCAAAGTGAGAAAAGGTCATAAATATCCTTTGGGGTTCCAGGTACTTTCTTTCCTTCTGCTTTACCTGACAGGGAAGAATTTTGGAAGATAAATGAAATATCCAGAATTTTGTGTGTGTGTATGTATATATATGTATGTATAGCTATTTATTTATTTACATACTTATATGTATACACCAGCATTTTTCATGCAAACTGAGGATCCATCAACATGGTGTTGTTCTCGTTGCAACCCAGGGAATTAAAGGAGGCCAACAATTTATGTCATCATGGAAGCACAAGATGGTTTGGGCTGGAAGGTACTCATCTTCTGCACCCTGTGCAAGGACACCTTCCACCAGACCAGGTGGCTCCAAGCCATGGAACACATGAGGAGCTGGGCAGACACCTGTGGGGGCACAAACACAACTTCTGGCTTTTATTTCACAGTTATGAGCCATGGGTCTTTTCCAGGCCCCTTCCAAACATCCCCTACAGGCTCCCCTGACCATCCCTGATCATCCAGGCCAGCAGCCCACCCCCACTGCTGCGTTCAGTGATAGCAGAACTCCCCCAGCTCCGTGTCCGTGTTCTCCCAGTGTCTCAGGGAAACCCATTTATAACTGTAGTAAAATAATTATATTAATCAATATAAAATTGCTTTGCCACTTCACCAGCATGATCTTTCCTCTGCTGTTTTGATTGCCCAGAAGTACCAGAGGGTTTTTCTGATACTTCTTCCTTTTAATGCTGCACTTGGTTCTCTGTCTGTCATGCTCCCATCTCTGAGCACTGTTAGCCGTTTGCTGTGGGACCTCTGACCCCTTCCTGGGTCATACATGAATGAGTTGGATATATTGTTCTTCTGTCTGAGATTGATGGAATGTGGGAGCAAGTCCTTAAAATGACACTGCTGAAATAGTTAAGAGCAGGAACATTGGTGACTTGAGCATCCTGAAATCACAGAATCCCAGGATGGTCTGAGCCCATTTTGTTCCACACCCCTGTGATGGGCAGGGGCACATTCCACCAGAGATACATACTGGAGTGCTCTGTACTTTCTTCTCTTACACAGAGAAAATAAGAATTAGAGTGGGAAGATAAATGCAGACAATTCACACCGTATAGGCAGCTGCGTGTGAGAACTATAGAGAGGATTTTCTGTTGCAGTACATCACATATGGAGCTGTTGGATTTTCTTATTCTTACATTAAGACTATAATTTTTCCTGTTGTATCATGCAGCTTTACAAGGAGTTCCAGTTTGGAGCAGGAGTAAGACAGCGCTGCTGTGTGCTGGGCAGATGGTCGGATAAGAATTTAAAACTGGTTTATCCTTACAGCTCCTAATGAGTGATAGTCTGTGTGTGAGGTCTTTATCTTCTCCCAGTCCATGGCAATCCCTCCCATTTTGGGAGCAGATGTGTTGGATGGCAACGACTCAGCGACCCTCACCTCACCTCGACCTCACCTTGCCTCGACCAATCCTCTTTTGGGGATCAGAAGGAAGTCTCTGCTGGCACCTCAGTGGTGGGGTGCAGGAAAAGAACATTCCAGCACTGACATTAGTTCAGAGTGTAAAGCCAAAGCGCTTTGAGCATTTTGTGGGTCAGTCATATATTACTGTTGTGGCACAACAAACTTTTCTTTCAAAAATGAGTTAAAATCAGATTTGTCTATAGTCTCAAATATTATTCCCTATAGACAATTACCAAATATTGCATGTGAGCCCCTTTCAGCTCTGTTTTTTGTTAAGATGAGGAGATGGAAGAAGTGATCACATCCCTTGTTTTTTATTTCTTCATTCATCTCATGGAGACTCCTCTGCCTTCTGACTGTGTTACACCAGCAGGACACCCCTGCACCCACGCGCCACCTGCTTCTGTTCATGTGCTGAGGTGGTGATAACCAAATCTGTAAGGGTCCAGGGGGTGCCCTTGTGTTCAGGCAGGTGCTTTTGGTTTAGGGCCACATTACACATAGTAAATAACTTCTGTAGCATTTGGAAATTAATTTTAATGGGGTGTAGATAATAACCACCTACAGCTTTGCTCTTGAGTTTTAAACAAACAATAAATTGAAGCTTAGCAACCAGCAGCCTAAAAGAGAAAGTTGATTGTTCTGTTGGATGCATTGGCCTTGCTTATCCCAGGGCTGCCTGGCTGATTTGTTCCACATTTTGGCCCAAAACAGTTAGCTGTGTGAAGGTAATGGTTAAGTGACTCACACCTTTGCCTAATTTTAGGTTCCCATGCCTTTGGATTGAACTTTCTCCAGCATTGCTCCATGTTCTTTTAATCTCTGCCTTTGCTCCCTGAGGAGGATGTGTTGGATGTGTTGCTGTCATGACACTGTTGGATCTCACGCATGTTTTTTGTTTTCCTCCAGCTCTCCCTCCCCTGATGGCTCGTCGATCCCAAAGCTCCTCCCAGGGGGACAACCCCCTGGACCCCAACTACCTTCCCCCCCACTACAAGGAGTACTACCGCCTGGCCCTGGATGTGCTCACGGAGGAGGGCAAGGAGAGTTACCAGCGCTTCCTGGCCGAGGAGGCAGCCCCTGATTTCCTCTGTGGCTCCGAGGTGGATCACATAATCCAGAACCTCCAGAAGCCCCAGTATGCCAACCAGGAGGGCAGCACGGACACGGCAGGGGACAATGACATGGACGGATCCTCCGGGACTTACTGGCCCATGAACTCAGATCTGGCCGTTCCTGAGCTTGACCTGGGCTGGCCGATGGTCTTTGGCTTCAGGGGAACAGAGGTGACAACGCTGGTGCAGCCACCCCCACCAGACAACCCCAGCATTAAGGAGGAGGCTCGCAGGATGATTCGAGCAGCTCAGCAGGTGAGACAGGGAGAGCCCAGCTAGAGCAGAGGTAAAACCACACATGTGCCAGAGCAGCATCAGGACAGACAATCATAGTGCAGTGGTTTGGGTCAGAGGAACCTTAAAGCTCCTCCAGTTCCACCCCTGCCATGGGGATGGACACCTTCCACTAGCCCAGGTTGCTCCAAGCCCCATCCAGTCTGGTCTTGAACACTTTCAGGAATAGGGCAGCCAGAGCTGCTCAGGGCATGCTGCACCAGGGCCTTATCCTCCTCACAGGGAATAATTTCTTCCCAATATCTCATCTAACTCTGCCCTCTGGCAGTGTAAAGCCACTCCCCTTGTTTTGTCACCCCAGGCCGTTGTCCAAAGTTCCTCCTGAGCTCTCAGAGCCACTTTAGGCACTGGAAGGGGCTGTAAGGTTTTCCTGGAGCCTTCTCTCCTCCAGGCTAAGCAACATCAGGTCCTCTGCTAATTCCCTTAACTTTGCTTCCAGAATCTGACAGAGGAGCAGGATGATTCAAATCCACCATTGACTGCACCAAAGCTTGTCTCTGCTCTGCTGTCCTAGGCCTTGCTAAAATACACCAAGAGTTCACAGAATCCCAAAACGTTAGAGATTGGAAGGGGCCTCTAGAGCTGGTCCTGTCCACCCCCCTGCTCAGAGGAGGTCAGTTAGAGAGGGTCACTCAGGATGTGTCCTTGAGCATCTCAAAGGGTGGAGACTAAACCTTTCTGGACAGCCTGCTCCCACGTTGATGGTCTCCTTACAGTCACAGAGGCTTTTCTGTAACTGAACTGTAATTTCTTGTGTTTCAGTTTGTCCTTGTCCTCTCCCTGGGCACCACTGAGAAGAGTTTTACTCCTTCCTTACACCCTTTCCATCAAGTATTTCAACTCAGGGAGCTGGGAAGGACAGGAAGACCTGTGAAGCTGCTTCCCATAAAATCAGCACACGGATGCAGCTGAGTAATGGCTGCCTGAATGCTGGCCAGGAAGTTACCTAAAAATGGCACGGGGATGTTGGAGTGGGGGATCAGCTCCATGCACTATCCAGTGTGATTACATGGCCAAAAAGTTCATGGAATTATTAATTGATGAGTCGGGAAACACGCAGGGAGGTTTCCCCTCACCTGCATACACAGAACATGCACCTTTCTGGTTAGAAATTCTCCTTCCACTTCAAGGCCCACAGTGCTTAATGGGGCCTTTAATTGGGATGTTTGCTGTTTCAAAAGGAAGCTGAGATGGGGACAGTGCAGCTTTGGGGTGTGAGAAGCTGGGATACACGGTTGGTCAGGCATGAGGCAGCACAGTGGCTCATGTGTCCTCATCCCTTCCCCAGGTGGTGGCCATCGTGATGGACGTTTTCACAGATGTGGATCTGCTGTTTGAGGTGCTGGAAGCTGCTTCTCGCCGAGTGCCTGTCTACATCCTGCTGGATGAAATGAACTCCCAGCTCTTCCTCGACACAGCTGCCAAGTGCAGAGTCAACCTGAACTATGTGGAGGTGAGCAAAGACCTGCCCTACCTGATTGGTGTCCTGAGGGGGTGTGTCCTGCCTCACAGAGGGCCAGTATGGCAGGAAGCACCTGAGAAGGTGAGAACCTGGTGAAAGATGAGTGTGAAGTGAGGAGAGCTGGCACAACATGGGGTGAGGCTGCAGATGTGCTGAGAAAGGGGTTTGTACACCAGTGTGTGCAGGCAGAACCACTGGAGCTGGATTATCCCACTGGGGGTGGATGGAGGTTAAAAGGAGGCAGGGAAGGAGGGGCAGGGGAGGGAATGAGGGTCCCATCTGAGTCAGTACCTTTCTGGTTTGCAGTTCCTGAGGGTGAGGACAGTGTCTGGCCCAACCTACTACTGCCGCACGGGGATGTCCTTCAAGGGGCACCTGAAGGAGAAGTTCCTGCTGGTGGACTGCATGGTGGTGCTGAGTGGCAACTACAGGTGAGGAGCCCTGTCCAGCTCAGAGAGACTCAGATGCTTTGTGCATGGGGTTGGCTGCAGAGGAGCTCAGCTCCCATCTGATCCATTCCAGAGAGAATTTGCCGTAGCATAAGGAGTGTAAGATTTGCATCTTAGCCTGGACCAAATGAATTTTGAGCTCCTCTCACAGAATCATCAAATCACAGCATGGTTTGTGTGAGAAGGGACTTTAAAGCTCATCTTGTTCCACCCCCACAGCCCCACATGGGACACCTTCCACTATGCCAGGCTGCTCTGAGCCCCATCCAGCCTGGCCTTGGACACTTCCAGGGATGGGCAGCCACAGCTGCTCTGGGCAACAGAGAGGTGGGTGGTTTTAGTTAGGATTGAAATCAGCCATTAACACATTACCATCCTTTTGGGAATAACAATCTTAACTAGCTAAGGCATTCATTTCTGGCAGAATAAATGTTTTTATTGAGTTGCAGTAGAATAATTTCTCCTTCATATATTAAAAGGGTGATGGGATAAACACCTGTCATGCTCTAAGAATGTAATAATAGAATCACAGAATGGTTTGGGTTGGACAGACCCTAAAGCTCTTGTGGTTTCTCCCTGTGCTGTTGGCAGGGAAACCTTCTAGGCCAGGTTGATCCAAGCCCACCATGAGTTGCTTCTCATGGTGAAAGTTAAGCAAATAAAGGGTATTTTAAAACACAGTATATGAAGAAAAAATTGTAAGAATCTGATTAAAGTGCATATTCCATGACAGTAAGATTTCACTTTGTTTTTTTCCCCTGATGTTTGAAAGTAATTATTCACATTTGATGCTGTACCAAACACTAAGTGTTCTGATTGGATCATTTCTTGTTTATGAGAGCATCAAGTAAATTGTTCAGGACTACTTCTGCCACAGTCCCATGGCTTTGGGCTTTCCAATATTGTATTATTTCTGAAGTAGGAAGATGGGAAGCGTTCAAGATGAGGCTCAACAAGGCTTGGAGCAGCCTGAGCTAGTGGAAGGTGTCTCTGTGCATGGTAGGGGGGTGAAACAAGGTGTGATGGTCCCTTCCAACCCAAACCAGTCTGGGATTCTGAGAGACAGGCTGGTGAATTGGTAAAGCAGCATTCTGGCACTTCCACATGGATATCAGTGACATGGATAAAAGTTTTGCTCACTGAAGGACACTGAGTAGCAATTTTTTTGGGAAAAATACTCCATTTTGCAGTGGAGGTAGATACACCAACTGAAGAAGGCCTTGAGCCCAGACAACCCAAAACCAAGCTTCCTTCACATTAAGAATTTAAAAATCTGGGGAAAAAAAAATATAGTAATTCTAAGGTTTTGGTTAAGCCCAGCAGGCAGCCAAGCCTCACAAAGGTGTCCCTCATGATTCCCAGCAGGATGTGGTAGAGAACTGTAAAGGTGAGAACACTCCTGGGCTGTGATACAGTTTTAACAGCTGCAGCAAACCTGCACACACAGGCAGGGCAAAGTAAGGGATCCCTTCCCTGCTTCCCATCACTCAGCAAACAAGGAAAATAAACCAGAGCTTGACTTGGGAAGATGAACACCATAACACTGAACATCCTCCTCCCCCATTTCCAGCCCAGGTCCTTCTGTTCAGTCCCCTCAAACTGTGTGGGTGGAAGGGCTGTGCCATCCCAGGAGTAAGATCTTGGGTCTGTCTTTTTGGAGGTTCCTGTCGGCACATCTCCCAGCCTTTGGGGTTCCCCTGACTGGTGTCACCTGCCAGGTGCTGAGGAGACACACTGACTGTTGTCCAGGTTGTTACTGACAGTGCTAAAGACAGAAACATCTGCTTCACACAAGGATTATCATCAGCTCACTCTGGGTGACATGACTGACTGGCTTTTTAGAACAGAAATCATTTATTGCCTTGTAAAATTCTCTGCAATGATGTGATCCCAAATCAAGCTGTTAGGTTTGGGAACAGTCATGTGTAACACGTAGCTGCAAGGGAATTGTCTGCCATTATTTTGTCCTATTTCTGCCCAACCAGAAAATTTAGAATTTGCTTCAGGTGAGCAGATGTTTTAATGAAAACAAGTACAGCTGAGTTACTCCATCACTTCTGTTCTCTCTCCAGTTTCATGTGGTCCTTCGAGAAGATTCACAGGAGCATTGCACACATCTTCCAGGGTGAGCTGGTGGCCAGCTTTGATGAAGAATTCCGCATTTTGTTTGCACAGTCGGAACCTCTGGTTCCTCCAGCCAACGTCTTGGCAAAGGCAGAGAACACGTTTGCCATGGCTCCCTTTGGCAATAACATGCCTTTCTTCCCCAAAAAAGGCCCCCTGATGTTCCAGAGGGATGAGAGTCTCTTCCCCTCCTTCATGGACAGGGTGGATCCGGACAGGTACTTCCTGTCCAATTTCCGGCGGGACGACATGCTGCGGCACACTGTGGAGGGGTCGGCCATGCGGATGTACAAAAAGGTGGAAATGGAGAATTCCCAGATGGATCCGGTCAGGGGCTTCCTCCGTTCCAAGCAGCTGGAGCTGGACGCTTTTAAGAGACACAGTTTTGCAGAAGGAACGTTTGAAAACTTTGCTTCTGCCAAGCAGTACACCCGGCAGATGTTCATGAACAACATGGACGAGTTCAAAATCCAATCCAGTCATTTCCAGAAGGACCAGTTCTACCAGTACCAGTTTGAACATCCCCATCTTCCTGGCAGACCTCAGGGATTCTTTGAGAGGATTCGAGGGGGGAGGCCGGGATTCAATGAACTGGAAGACTATGGAGAGGGACCCCGATACCCTGAACTGGAGCCCAGTTTCCCACAGGAGGGTTTCCCCCTACGGCTGGACTACGTGCCCTCAAATTCTTCCAGGGAGGTGAGACACGGCTCCGACCAGCTGAACCCCGCGGGCAACGGCCCCATGGGAATGATGTTACGGAGGCAGAACATAGGACAGAAATTCATTTGCCAGACTTCTCCCACGCAGAAGCAGAGCCTGGAGCAGCGCCTGTTCCTACAGGACAAGGATGAAGAGCAGGATGACGACAAGAACATGCAGGAAAACAGGACAGGGTTACGGAACTGGAGGATTTCTTCGTACCTCAGCGCATACCAGTCTGAACCAGATGAAGGGCTCCCGATGCCGATGGAGTCCGAGGCGTATAACGATGCTCTTGGGGATCCCCTCACAAAGCACCCCACTGACCTCGTCCCAGCCTTCAAACCCCCCACGCCCTTCAGTAGCAAGCCACTGGGAATTGACAGTGCCAAGGAATCTACAGATTCTGACAGAGCAGGTGAAGAAACCTCGATAATGAAACCAGATGCCTTCAGGTCCAGGATAAATCCTTTGATCCAGAGAAGCTCCAGGCTCAGGTCCTCTCTGATTTTCAGTGCTGCCAAATTAGATCAGCCCAACACCACAATAGAAAAGGTGCAGATGATCCAAAAAGAGCAAATGTCCAGTGAGTTAACAAAGGACAATGAAACCATCAAGACGGCTGCCTCCTCCAAAGTGGCTGAGCTGCTGGAGAAGTACAAAGCTGTGGGCAAGGACATGGAACGGGGCACGGTCACCCACACCAAAGCTGTTTCGGGTTATCTGCAGGAGGAATCTCAGAATACGGAGAAGAAATGTACCAAATCTGTGCAGTATAAGATTTTGGAGAGCAGGGTGCTGGACGCCAAAGACTCCTGCAGTACTTACAAAATGCATGGAGACTTGGACAGAGCATTTGGAATGGCCTCATCCACCCCCCAGCTTGGGGACGCGTTGAGTAAAGATCCTCTGGCACATCTTGGCACTAAGGTGGACAAGCTGTCATCCCGGTTTTACCCCATCGAGAGCAAACCTCCTCTTCCAGAGAAGGAGAGCCTGATATTTGTAGGAGACACTCAGAAATTAGCTCTTCCAGAGAAGAAGGACAGAGTGACCTTCAGAGAAGACTCTCCAAAATTAGTCAATACAGAAATGAAGAAACCACAGGTGAGGACAAGTACTACGTCCTCAGTTCTAGAAAGCCTGTCTAGAAGTCAAGGGTCTGACAGCTCTCTCAACAAATCTGAGGAAGACTGTTCAAAACAAGAGCAAAATCCCATGGAGTTTTTAAGAAAAGGGTCACTACGGCTGAAACAGCTTTTGAACCCAAAAGGTGAAAAGAAATTGGAGGAGGAGCCTGCTTCTGAGAGTGGGAAATGTGACAAACAGGCAGTGGTGCTGAAACGATCATCCATAGGGGACAGCCAGGAAGCAATGGAGGAAGAAAAACCCCACAAATTCACAGCACCACTGCCCCCCAAGAGCAGCCAGACAACACAAGGGAGGTTCCCATCCTCCACAGCCAACATCCTGTACAGCAGCAACCTGCGTGACGACACCAAGGTGATCCTGGAGCAGATCTCTGCCAACAGCCAGAAGAACAGAGCAGAGCTGGCCAAGCAGCTGCCGTCCACCAGCAACCCTGACCTCTCCAGGTCGACCACAAGCTTGGAAAGAAAAGGGGAAAAGGAGAAAAGCTGCAATATCCACAGGTCTGAGAGCTTTGGGAGCCAGAAACGGAACCTGCAGCGGCAGCCGTCAGAGGACAGAGACACCCTCCTGAAGAAGATGGAGAACATGCGGAAGGAGAAGCGAGTCTACAGCAGGTTTGAGGTGTTCTGCAAGAAGGACGAGCACACGAGTCCCAGTGAAGAGGAATATGACACAGATGCCAAAGACAAGAAAATGGGAAAATTCATGCCCAAAATCCTGGGGACCTTCAAGACAAAAAAATGATCCTAGAAATCCTATTTAATTCCATTTAATCACTGACTGTCACAGAAAAAGGAGGAAGAAACTTGTCTATCATGGCTACAAACCCCCATGGCAATGCTCTTTTTGATTAGTGAGCAGAAATGTATCCAGCATGAGCCTCCCACGGCACAGTTTGCTCAATAAAGTCAGGTGGTATCAAACAACCTTATCACAGTATGTTCCAAATAAAACAATTAAAATGCCAACGTGCTTAAAAAACAAGTCTCTGTTACTGTACAAAACTAAATTATAGTCTCTGTTAAACCCAAGGAATATTTTCAGCAGACAAAACCATTCAAATTTCAGAAAAAAAAAAGAAAACCAGAAAATTCAATACTTGAATTTGGGCCAGAAAAGATAAATACATATGGATGCACACAGAGGTATTAACTGGAAAAAGTAATTAAAGCTCAAGTGTTTTCTCAGGAACAGTTACACTTTTTCTGTATCTCACAATGAATCAGACACAGGAGGCACATTTTTGAAGGTTTACATACAAAAAAAAAGTAGTTGTAATCAATTTTTTTGCCTAATCTGTGGCTCTGATCTTCTCCAGCTTTTGTGTTTACCAGTTCCTGAGCCTGCGGGGTCTGGTTTGTTCCCTTGTGTAAAAAGGAATTACCTGCTTTAGGGGCTGAGCTCAAAGAAGCTGCTGAGGTGCTATTGATGGAGAAGGGCTTGGTTTTAGGAGGCCTTTTCAGGTGAGTCTGAGTTTCAATAAGCATCTAAAGTCCTGCCTTGGCCAAGCAGTGACTTCCTTGAGAGTTAACTGCAGATCATGAGGTGACAGGTCTGGAGCAGCTGAGAGAGCTGGGGGGAATAACAATCATTCATCACAGGTAGAGTAAAACCTCAGGGACAGAGACAAGAGCTTCAAGTTAATGAGGAAAATGTATCCAAAATCCTGACTGAAACAGGAATATTAAGTTTCCTGTAGCCCCACAGTAGACTGGCAACACCTTTACAATGTCTCAGCAATAGTATCTCATGAAACTTTGCTTTCTGAAAACAAAACAAATAAAAATGACCAATTATTCACTGAAGAAGACAGCCCTACCAATAGGCAGTTTCCCTCTCAACACAGCAAATGTTGCTTGAAAGACAAAGATTTTCTGCAGTGCAGTATAAAGGATTTATTATTACAATATTATTACAACATTACACACTAGAGAAGCTGTTAAATATTGTAGAAGAACCACCTGTATTTAAAATGTTTTTCTACTTGATTTTAACAAAACCAGACCATAATGAATTCAGTTCATCTAGCCTAGAACAGTCATAGAAATGAGTGAAGGGCTGTAAGGCTATCTGTGAAGAGTTAGGTCCTCATGGTCTTCAGAGAACAGTTACCTGTTCTGCTCAAAAAAATATCACCATTTAGGCAGACTGCTGAAGAATCCTGGAATGGGTTGGAAAGGACCTTTTAAAGGTCACCCAGTCCTAACCCCTGCCTACCATGGCAGGGCCACCTTCCACTGTCCCAGGCTGCTCCAAGCCTGTCCAACCTGGCCTTGGACACTTCCAGGAATGGGGCAGCCACAGCTGCTCTGGGCACCCTGTGCCAGGGCCTCACCACCCTCAGGGAAGGATTTCTTCCCAACACCCCATCCATCCCTGTCCTCTGGCAGTGGGAAGCCATTCCCCTTGTCCTGTCACTCCAGGCCCATGTCCAAAGTCTCTCTCCAGCTCTGCTGGAGCCACTTTAGGCACTGGAAGGGGCTCTTGGTCTTCCTGGAGCCTTCTTTCCTCCAGTCTGGACACCTCCCAGCCTATCTCCAGAGCTGAAGGACTCAAGCCTTCAGAGCATTTTCTTGGCCTTGCACTAGGCCTTGTTGAACTTCAGGAGGTTCCCCTGTACCCTGAGTATGTCTAAAAACCACTCAAGTATCAGAATAATGCTGTTTCCTGTGGTTTTTGCAGTAATTCAAAGAAGGAGTGTGAAGTGACAGCATTCACTCTTCTCAGGGTATGAGAGCAAATGCTGTGTCCTTGCCTGCTGAGACTGGAAGGCAGAGGAGTGGGATTCCCTTTCCTATGAGCTTGTCCAGAGGAGAGGAGGACATTGCCCTAAGCAGTTAATAAAGCATTTCCTCATAGTTTGCTCTTCCCTGCTGCTCTTGCTCAGTCAGGGGCTGAGGGATGAGCTGTCCTTCACCTGTCTGGAATATCTCCACAGTCACTGCTCAGGGTTTTTGGAGGCCTTTGCTATTGGAAGGCTCTGCAGTGCAGATTTACTGATGGTTCCATAGGCCTGGGAGTAGCTGCCCATGGATGCCCTTGGATCACCCGCAGCTCCCACATTTGCAGTGATCTGGAACATCTTTTTACCGGGCTTCAGAGGGGGATGAACGTCTTTGCTGTGACACTGAGAGTTTCTGGGATTCTGTGTGAGAAAGAAAAGCCAAGAAAAGTTAATAAGCTGGAATCAGCTTTCTGGAGTGCAAATAGGACACAGGTTTGGCTTTGGTCAGTACTATCCTCTCAGGAAACAAACAGGAACTCAGGGCACGTGTAGGCTGATCTTCTCACTCTTCTGCTCTTCTTGTCACAGAAAATTGGTCACAATTCCCTGAAGATCCTTCCAAATCCATTGGTCATGCCTACATCTGCATGTGCAGCAAGCTCCACAATCCCATCTTGGGGAATTAATGGCTTCTCTTTCTCTCAAAGCATTTTGGAAGGGATTCCAAATCAGAGGGGCTGAAAGGTGAGCTACAGGTGTGCTACTGGAAATGCTTGAAGGTTTCTGACAACCTGGACTAGTGGAATGTGTTCCTGACCATGGGAGAGGGGTGGAATGAGATCAGTTTTTAGGTGCCTTCCTAAAAAGGGCAGTCTGTGATTCAGTGAATCTGTGCTGCCTCCTTCCATACTCTTCCCACTGTCATAAGCTTCCTCCATCACCTCTGCAGGTGCCAGCAGTCACCAGGCAGCAGAAGCCAGCTCAGGAAGGAAAAAAGCAGAAGCAAGAGGTCATTAAAGAACCCACTGAGAGGGAGGACTTTTCCAAGGAAGCATAGCCAAAACCAGGGAAGAGGGAGGAGCACAGAGGACAGGACTGACACCCTCACAGCTCAGCAACAGCAACCCATTGGATCCACAGAATCATGAAATCAGAGAATCACTAAGGTTGGAAAAGCCCTCTGGGCCCACTGAGTCCAGCTGCTCCCCCAGCACTTCCAAGGCCACCACTGACCCCTGTCCCCACGTGCCACATCCATGTGGCTGTTAAATCCCCCCTGCCCCGAGGCAGTCTGTTCCAGGGCTGCACAGCCCTTTGCAGGTGAGTTTTTTCCAGTATCCAACCTAAACCTCTCCTGGAACCACCTGAGGCCGTTTCCTCTCATCCTGTCACTTGTTTCCTGAGCAGACCCTGACCCCCACCTGGCTGTGTCCTCCTGTCAGGGAGCTGCAGAGAGAAGATCCTCCCTGTGCCTCCTTCTCTCCACAGCTGCTGCTGTGGCTCCAGACCCTCCTCCAGCTCTGTTCCCTTCTCTGGACACACTGCAGCCCCTCAATGGGGCCCCTCCTTTCTTGTTGGGAAGAGCCCAAACTTGCCCCCAGGACTGGAGGTCCCTCAGCAGCGCCCAGCACAGGGGATGGTCACTGCCCTGGGTGTCTGGTCACTCTGCTGCTGCTACAAGCCAGGTGCCACTGGCCTCTTACCCACCTTGCCACACTTGGTCTCATGTTCAGCTACTGTCATCAGCACCAGCACTAGGTGACCTTTCCCAGCTTTCCAGCCACTCTGCGTGGAGCACTACAGGGAGTTGCTGTGACCCAGGTTACCACAGGTAAGGGCTGGAAGTTAAGCTACTCACATTGTAAAGGTTCTGCACACTTGTAGGAGAGAGCTTTGTGATTTGTCTCCCTAGTTTCTCATTGCTGGAGATTCTGGACTGTTGAGGTGGTGCAGAACAGTTCCTGATCCCAGCACCAGGATTTGCATTTCCTGCAGAAGGAAAAACATGAGAGAAAGTAGGAAAATCAGAAGAACACAGAACACATTGACTGAGGCAGGGACAGTCCCATACTCAACACTCATTCAACAGTGTTTTGTTCTTATGTCATTTCCCTCCCACACTTCCAGCCCTTCATTTTACCATGCAAATTCCCTTCATTTCCTTTACAGCCCTCATGCTCTCTTCCCCACACCAACAGCCCAAGGCAGGTTACACCCAGTGTAGGAGGGTGGTACCTACTCTGCACAGTGGTGTGTGTGATGGGGTTGTACATCACCACACTAATCTGTGATCTCTGACCCAGAGTTCTGGCCAAATCCTTGCTCTGGCTGGACCCTGCTGGTTGGGCCCCAGCTGTGGCTCCGGGGTGCACATGTGAAGGGTTTAGCAGAGGGGGTGCTGGCTCTTGTTGGTCTTTCCTGGTGGGTGCCACTGAGCTGAAACCTGGCAGAGGTGTGCTGGACTCAGACTGGCTCAGCTGAATGTTTTCTCTCTGCCCTTGCTCCTTTGGAAGGTTCTTTGACTTCTTTTCAAGGATCATCTGCAGAACATAAAAGCTAGTTAGACTTAATACAGCAATACAGCAGAAAAATAAAACATCAAAACAAAGAGGAATACTTATAAATATCTGCAATTTATTTTACAGGGTAAGTAACAAGTATAATTTTGGAACTAGATGATCTTTAAGTACCTTTCAACCCAAACTATTCTGTGAATCTTTCTCAGACATCATGCTTCAGATTTTTCTTTGCCCTATGGGAATTTTACATGTAAAGGTCTCTCAAAGATTAGGACAGTATGGAACTGATCAAACACACAGGTGTAAATGTGCCAGCAGGTACAGAAAGCCCAGAGAACACAGAGACAAGACAAAGAATTTGTTAAGTGTGTGCAAGAATGGCAGGTTATCTGGAGGATTAGGATTGGGGAAAACAGGATGAAAGTACCTCATATAATTTATTTCTATATTCTGCCACAGACAGCTGGACATCATCACCCAAAGGAAGGATCACATCAAAATCCAAAGAGGGCTCCCTGGAAGGACAGTGGAATCTGAGGGAATGAGAACATATCATGTAATTCATGGAAATTACATGACTGGAAACAGATTATTAAAATTTAAACAGGATTGTTAAACAATCTCGTATAAATAGGGCTGGAGAAAACAAAGAATTAGTTTTGCCATTTTTTCTGTAATGCCTTTAAAGAAAATTTGTGCTAAGAGCAGGTTTGTAGTGTCTCAGAAGACATCAGGGGAAGCTGCACACTGGTGTCACTCTCACCTGCTCACGTAAGGATGCTGCAGAGCCTCCTCTGCTGTGAGCCGTTTGTCAGGGTTAAAGACCAGAAGTTTCTTCAGCAGATCCAAGGCAGGCAGTGGAGTGGAGGGTGGGAAAATCTCCTCAAATGCTACTCGCTGCCTAGAAATCAGAAAAAAATCAGTGTCTAATCTCCAGTGAAGGCAGGAGTGACAGTTCCAGGATCATGTCAAGGTGACACCAGGCACAAGTTCACTCACAAAGTGTGTCATAATCACTGAATCCTAGAATGGTTTGGCCAGGAAGGGACCTTAAAGCTCATCACTTCCCAGCCCCATGATCCCACAAATCTAGACCTGAGATTATAGAAACATACTTCTTTGTAATTTACAGAGAAGATAAAATTTAAAAATCTGGTTTTGCATTTTGAAATCCTAAATACAAATGTGAACATAATGAAGAAGAAAGTATCTTGAAAAAAATCAGTTTTAAGCACCAAATCTTACTTATATTTTAAACAATTTTTATTTAAGGAGACAACTTAGAGCCCCTTCCACTGCTGTAAGAGGCTCAAAGGCAGCTGGAGAGGAACTTTGGACAAGGGTGTGGAGTGAGAGCACAAGTGGAAAGGGCTTCCCACTGTCAGAGGGTAGGGTTAGATATACTGGGAAGGAATTATTGCTTGTGAGGGTACCGAGGGACTGGAATGATTTCCTGGAGAGGCTGTGGCTGCCCATCCCTGGAAGGCCAGGTTGGATGGGGCTTGGAGCAGCCTGGTCTAGTGAAAGGTGTCCCAGTCCATGTCAGGGGGTGGAATGAGATGAGCTTTGAGGTCCCTTCCCACCCAAACTGTTCTGTGGTTCTGTGACTCCAGGGTCCTGCATTAGATGATCTGAGACACACTGACACCTCAGGCTTACCTGGAACTCATGTGCTTAATAACTGAGGCCTTGTACTCTGACTGCAGAGCCAAAATATCTGCAAGAATAAAAACATACTGTTACTGCCAAGAAGAGGATTAGCAGAGCTGCACAGTTTATGAAGGAAAGCCAATACTTGATATTAACCTAGGAAATTATCCACACAGAACTCGGTCGGAGATCTATGGAAGGGGGATGGAATACTTACGAATTTTCTAAGCTGATTTTTGAATTCCTATTTATTAATTTGTACACTTCATAAACTTGCATTCTCATAGCAACAGATGCAGAGCACCATCACCAATATATGAATTTCTAATTTTTCTCTAACACTAACATTCAAGTTGAGGATTTTAATTCCTTTGGAAAGGTGCCAGAATGAATGAGATACCTTATTCCCTGACCAAGCCAGGCTGCTTTCTTCCACTGAACCCCTTCTCTAGATCCCTTTCCCCACAGCAGGGTCCTACCTTCTGGGGATGGAGCAGGGATGACCCTCAGGATCTGCTCTATTTGGTTCATTGTTGATGTTCCAGGAAAAAGAGGCTTTCCAAGCAGCATCTCTCCAAGAATACAGCCAATGCTCCACATGTCCACACCCTTTGTGTAACTACAAACAGGAACAGAACAGAGATAGGATTAAATCAAGCAAATATTTTCTTGTACCTGGTATTCACATCACCTACATTGATTTATTCACTAGAAAGCGTGCTTGGTGACTTCTCAAATATAAATGCTCATAGGTTTGAACTATAAATTGAATAACATTTGGGAATCATGAGACTGGCAAACATGAAACAGAAGATTTAAAGTCTAGTCTAAGAAACTATAAAAGGAAATATATTACAGGGAAATGCTAGAACAAGGTAATATATTAAAGGTAATGCCAGAACAAGGTATTATATCCTTTTCATATGACCTAGAATGAAGATATACATTGTTCTTTGGTCATAATGTACGTACAAAGTAGTTACAATTACTTAAGAATTACATTTTTAAGCAAAGTAAATGCCAAACAGTGGGTATAAGACAGTTTGCAAAACACCCACATTTAAAATTCGGGATACTACCCACATCTATTTATTGACTTTTCTGGTTTTTCATATTTAATTTTTTAAAAAAGGACTAAGCCTGACTAACAGCAGCTGGTTTAACATTTGATTAGGGAGTATTTCGTGAAGGTCTATTGAAAAACACTGCTTCAATTTGGAAAAGAGGATTCACATTCTCAAGCAGATTTTGTAAAGTTGTGGCTTTAAGGGAGAAGATGTAAATCTGCTGGGAGAAAGGGTGACAAGCAGATGAACTGCTCGAGTATGTCCATTGACACTCTGAGAACACAGGAAGGACGTGTCCATGTTCTTAAGAGGTTTTTGTGTTGCAGAAGTTTAATTGTACACTGAGAAAACAGACTGCTGACACGACACCGCATCTGGTGACACTGACAACGGAAAGACTGAAGACCTTTAGACAGAAAAACGCGCAAGTGAAGTGCCAGGCTCCCGTCCCCTCCCCGGCTCACCGGCGGGAGGCCAGCAGGATCTCGGGCGCTCGGTACCAGCGCGTGGCCACGTACTCGGTGAGCGCGGGGCTGGGCTGGGGCTCGCCCCGCTGGCACAGGGAGCGGGCCAGCCCGAAGTCACACAGCTTCACACAGCACTGGCCATCCAGCAGCACGTTGGAAGGCTGCATGGGACACAGCACAGTTAATGAGCCTCTTGCTCTCTGAATAGCACACTATCAAGGCTTTTTTACTAGTCTCCTACTTGTACATTTCTTCATATGTTTCCTACAGAGACAGGCTGAGACACCTGGGGCTAGGGGGAGAAAAGGCTCCAGGGGAGATCTTAGAGCCCCTTCAAGTGCTTAAAGGGGTGCCAAGAGAGCTCAAGAGGGACTTTGTAAACAGCCTGGACAGCACAAGGGGAAATGGCTCCACACTGGCAGAGGGCAGGGTTAGATGGGATATTGGGAACTGGTACAGGGCAGGGTTAGATGGGATATGGGAACTGGCACAGGGCAGGGTTAGATGGGATATTGGGAAGGAATTCTGCCCTGTGAGAGTGGTGAGGCCCTGGCACAGGGTGGCGAAGGAAGCTGTGGCTGCCCCATCCCTGGCAGTGTACAAGGCTGGACAGGGCTTGGAGCAACCTGGGATAGTGGAATGTGGCCCTGTCAATGGCAGGGGGTGGGAATGGATGGGCTTTGAAGATCCCTCCCAACCCAAATCAATCTGTGATTTTATTTCGTGTTCAACAGAAAACTGGAGTGAAGGATACAGACCATGACTGAAATGTACCTTCTGATCCCTGTGAATAACATTCCCTGAGTGGATGAATTTAGTTGCCTTCAGAAGTTGGTAGAGAATGTAACATTTGTGGATGTCTTTCAGCACATTCCCCTTCTTAATCACAGCATGTAAATCAGTCTCTGTAATATACCAGTAATATACTGACATCAGTAAATATCAATAGTACCATGAGCATTCCCTATCAAAATGATAACAAAGAAAACTCCTAAGAGAGGCTGGGTTTGAGTGGCTGCTGCAGTGTTGAGTCTCACCCATGGACTCGAAGATGAGGTAGATGTCCTTGTCATTCTCTGCTGGGATAACATCGAGCAGCTTGATGATATTTGGATGTTCTCCAAATTCCTGCACAGGGAAGAGACCCAGCTGTCAAAATCATGTGTTTTGCTTGTGAATCATAAAAAGGAACAATAACCTATTTCAGTTTGTATTACTGTCTAAATCAAACATTAACCTGCTTTTTCCTCCATTAAGTTTCTTCTGAAATAAACTTTAAAAAAGGATTTAAGTTGGTTCCATAGTAGGAAACCAGTCAGTTAATTTAAAAAAAATCTCTGTTAAATGAGACATTAGTTCTAACACTCCCTCTATACCATTTATAATAAAATCCAATCCTCTTTATACACCTCACATTTCCTACTGAAACAAAGAATTGTGGCATGAAAATAGATCATAGCTGTCATCAACATTCATAGTTAAAACCCCAAACAATCAGAACACGTCGATTTGAGGGCTGGCTCAGACACTCACAGGCTGCACTGAGGAACTGACTGCATGTGAGGCCATCCTCACATTTCTGCAGACTGACATTGACATTTCCCATGACTGACATTTGACAGACTGACATTTCCCATGACTGACATCATGGGATCATTAAGTTCATCCTCGGCTTTAACAGCTTTTATTTCTCACTTCTCTGTAGCCAGGGACACCATAAACACTTCATAATACTGTGACATTTTATAATGTGTAACGTCCAGGAAAGCTCCCAAAACAACACATTCACCTGCAGCAACCTGTGAAAACACACTCACAACACAGTGAGACATGGCCAGCCCATCACACACTTTATTTTCATTCTGAACATAGCCACAAAACCTATCCACAGGATCTAAAGAAGGTTTTTACCCAAAAGGGAGCATTGTTCTAGAGATGTAGCTAAATCTAGACTTGAGTGCTATTTAAGAAGGAAAATTCCACTGTCTCACACTGCCTTGCCCTGGAACTGATAATAGAAAGTCATGACAAAATATCAATCTGTACTAAAAAAAAACATGAAAAAAACCTTGTCAGGGCCAGTTCTATTGATCTTTGCTTAAAGAATAATAATGCTACTAACACACCAAAATGACATTCTAAAATTGGCCTAAAATACACCCATAGATCTACAACTAAATGACAAAATATCAATCTGTATTAAAAAAAAAACATGAAAAAAACCTTGTCAGCGCCAGTTCTATTGATCTTTGCTTAAAGAATAATAATGCTACTAACACACCAAAATGACATTCTAAAATTGGCCTAAAATACACCCGTAGATCTACAACTACAGTGAACAGCAAACACAAAACCTGCAAGCAATGACCAGAGCATCACAGAATCATTCACACCCCAGATTCTACAGCAACTTCTCAATGAGAATAATTGAGATACACAACATAAAACAATAACCTAGTCCATCAATTGACCTTGTGATCTACATCAAGACTGAACAAAACAATTATTATGCACAGACAAATAAATTAAGACAAACATGCAGTTATGAATAATGGAGTAATTTTCACATCTTTTCCTTTCTGAGCTCTTAGTCTTGAACCTCAAGAAAGAGGTTTAAAATAGGAGGGGAAACTAAAATTCTTAAAGTCTATTGAGCACCAGAAGTTATGGAGTATGGGCTGAGCAGCACATTAACTTCCCTCTGCCTGCCCTCCGCTGCCAAGTGACTCTTCCTTTCCTTCAGAAGAAATATCCTTTTTTCCTCTGCTCCTACTTCATTCATTCATTCCAGGAGTGTTGCACCTTCCGAGATGATCAAACTTCTAAGGTAGTTCACTTCTAAGGAACTGTTTCTATTTTTAGCTTTAAAGTTTGCAGCTTCTATTTCAGGCTTTAAGAATGACTAAAAAGTTTAAAAAAATCATCTCTTTCCTACTTAAACTTGGCAGTCTTAGGAAACACCTCTTCTATGAGCCCTGCCTCACTTGTGTCTTTAGAAAATCACAAGTTATAACAACAGTATTCCAAAATATTGATGTTTCTACATGGTAAATCTAAGGAGGAGTGGACAGATAACTGGAATACCACTGATAAGGTAAATTATATCAAAACAAGCGTAGTCTTAAGTTATTCCTTGCAGAACTTCCCTTTTTTTTTTGGTTAGATTATTTTAAGTAATTAAATTGCTTACTGCATGATGGAGGAAAACAATTTTGGAGTGTAAATCCCTAAATCCCTCTTTTACCTCAGCCGTCCTCCAATCACGGCAGTTAAAATGTAAAAGAAAACTGTTTCTATCACAAAGCAGCAATAAGTGACAGAAGGTGCTGATGTGCTCTGCAGCAGACGCAGTACTAAAAATGGAGAAAGAGTAAAAACAAGCCCAAATGGAGAGTGTTTCATTCAGGTGAAAGGCTCTTTGCCAAGATGATGCAGAAAAGACATTAAAGACTTATCAACACTAATCAATGACTGCTGCATTTTGGAAAACAGTGGGAAGAAAATACTTACATCAGAGACAATAAAAAATCAGAGAAGAGGGGGAACATGGACATTACCTGCAGGAACATAATCGACATCAGAGATAACAAAAAATCAGAGAAGAGGGGGAACATGGACATTACCTGCAGGAACATAATCTCTCGAAATGTTCTCTAGAAATAAAGAAAAAACAATTTATTATCACCTCAAGAGAACAGCAGAACAGAGATGCAGTTCAATGACAGGGTTAAATCCACTCCTCTTTTATACATGCCATGATACACAAAGTTTGATATTTATTGCTTGGTTTCATCCCAATATAGCTGCAGACTATATTGTTATGTGCATAATTATCATCTTTCAGAGACAAACGTCCTGAAAATACCTATGGAATCCCACCACGTCTCAGAACACATCAGGACAGTAATTTCTCACCCAATATATTATCACCTCAAGAGAACAGGAGAACACAGATGCAGTTCAATGACAGGCTTAAATCCACTCCTCTTTTATACATGCTCTTTTATACATCCTCTTTATACACAAAGCTTGATATTTATTGCTTGGTTTCATCCCAATATAGCTGCAGACTATATTGTTATGTGCATAATTATCATCTTTCAGAGACAAAAGTCCTGACAATACCTATGGAATCCCACCACATCTCAGAACACATCAGGACAGTAATTTCTCACCTGAGCATCTGTTCTGTTCCTGAAAGCATCAAAAATCTTTTTGACAGCAACTGTTTCTCCTGTCTGGTGGTCGGTTGCTCTCCAGACGATGCCGTAGGCCTGCGGAGAAGCAGGACAGGTGAGCAGAGAGCTGACACCTGCACGCAGCCCGGGCCTGCGGTGGAACCAGAACGTGCCCAGTGATGGACTGGAGCAGAGGTGATGGGAGCCACAGGGAAGATAGAGAGATTAGGCCAATGAGACAGACTCAGGAGACACACTGAGAGGGTTGGGGTTGTTCAGCCTGGAGAAGCAAGGCTGCAGGGAGACTTTACAGCTCCTTCCAGCGCCTGAAAGGGCTCCAAGAGAGCTCAGGAGGGACCTTGGACAAGGGCCTGGAGGGACAACCCAACTTGGAACGCAGAAGAGAGGCTACGGGGAGACTTTACAGCTCCTTCCAGCGCCTGAAAGGGCTCCAAGAGAGCTCAGGAGGGACCTTGGACAAGGGCCTGGAGGGACAACCCAACTTGGAACGGCTTCCCACTGCCAGAGGGCAGGGTTTAGATGGGATTTGGGAACAAATCCTTCCCTGTGACAGTGGTGAAGCCCTGGCACCAGAAGCAACTGTGGCTGCCCCATTGCTGGAAGTGTCCAGGCTGGATGGGGTTTGGAGCAACCCGGGACAGTGGAAGGTGTCCCTGCCCATGGCAGGGGGGTGGAATGAGCAGGCTTTAAAGTCCCTTCTAACCCAGAATGTTCTGTGGTTCCAGGACTCTGTATGGAGAGCAGCCCTGAGAAGGACTTGGGGGTGCTGGTGGACGAAAACCTGGCAATGAGCTGACAACACAGCAGCCCAGACTGCCAGCCATGTCCTGGGATGCACCAAAAGGAGGGAGGACAGCCAGGATTCCACAAACCCGGGGATTGGGCCCAGCTGGTGCAAGGCACATTCTGCTGACCAGTCTGATCTCCCTCTGTGACAGTGTCACCTGGAAGGGCTGCATTGATGGGATGGGACGGGACGGGACGGGACGGGACGGGACGGCATGGGATGGGATGGGATGGGATGGGATGGGATGGGATGGGAGGGATAGGCCGAGGCCAGTGCTGCACAGGTCAGCAGGGCCAGGGTCTTGCTCTTGGGTCACAACAACCCCATGAAACATGCCAGGCTTGGGACAGAGTGGTTAGGAAGCTGAAAAGGCGCTGGTGGTGCTGCTGACAATGGCTGAACACGAGCCCAGGTGTGTCCAGGTGGCAATGGCACCTGGCTATACCAGCCATGGTGTGGCTGCAGGTCAAGGGAGATCATTCTTCCCCACGTCTGACCTTGTTGAGATTCCCAGCTGGAGCACTGCACCCAGCTTGGAGCTGCTCAGTACCAGAAGGACAGAGAGCAGTTTGAGCAGCTGCAGAGAAGGGCCACGGAGATGCTCCGAGGGCTGGAGGCCCTCTGCTCTGCAGCCAGGCTGGGACACCTGGGGTGTTCAGTCTGGAGAAGAGAAGGTTCCACGGAAAACTCACTGTGCTCTTTCAGAACTGAAAGGGGGGTGGTGAGAAGGATGGAGAGAGACTTTTTACCAAAGTCTGTAGTGACAGCATCCCAGAATTGCTGAGGTTGAAAAAGCTCTCCAAAGCCACTGGGTCCAGCCACTAACACAGCACTGTCAGGTCCAACACTAAACCTTTTTTTTTTTTCAATTAAAAGCTATGTTGTCTGTTAAGGGAACAGGAACCTCTACTTGAGTTTCCCCTGTTCTGCATGACTGTGATACTTGCAAATGATGATTACTCAGTCTGACATGTGGTATAGATCCAGTTTTTTTATTTTAGCCCATAGATTTGAATCTGGACTTTCCACAGCCTAGGAGCTGTTTTACCTTTGCACAAAGGGATCACATCCTACTCAGACATGCCCACTTACTGTCTAAATACTTGTACAAAGCAAAAGAGCTGCGATGTATGATTCTAGTGATTAAACACTCATGTAAGGACATCAAGACAGATTTCCCAGTAACGTGTGGATCTGGAGCATGGCACCAGAACCTTTCCCATGCATCAGGCAGTACAAACAGTTGTACAAGTACCTCAGGTAAGTGCTACAGTACTACCCTGCTGGCACCTGGGAAACAGCCTCGAGTTGTGCCAGGGGAGGTTTAGGCTGGATATTGGAAAAAACTCTTCTGCAAAGGGCAGTGCAGCCCTGGCACAGATTGCCTCAGAGCAGGGGGGAGTCCCCATCCCTGGGGGGATTTAACAGCCACGTGGATGTGCACTAGGGGACAGGGTCAGTGCTGGGGGAGCAGCTGGACTCCACAGGCTCAGAGGGCTTTTCCACCTCAGTGACTCCTTGACTCTGTGAACATAATGAGGGAAATACTTAAATACTTGTATCAACGCAACTAAATGATAGCAAAGAGCTGCCAGAATAATAAAGCAGATAACTTGGGAGAGTTTAGAGACTGTCTGAGGAGACACATCTTAAAAATTACAATTGGGTTATGTATAAAAATACGTTTTATGGAGAAGTTATTACGTGATGCAGCATGATCTGAAGTGATGGGGTTACAGTAAATGTAGAAGGATTTGGCAGGCACAGAGAGAATGTACTTTGAAACTCAGATCTATTTTACTATTTACTTTTCACAGTCCCCCGGAGTTCCCCTGGGTCACCTAGAGCTCCCAGCGGGCCCTGAGCGACAGAGAGAGTTCCCACGGGCGTCTGAACTCCCAAACACCCCCTCAGCTTCCCCGGGCCGCCTGGAGCCCTTACGGTGCCCTGAACTCCACACGGTCCCCCAGAGCTCTCATGGGCCCTCCGAGCTCCCGCGACCGCCCCAGCTCCCCCAGGCCGCCCCAGCTCCCCCAGGCCGCCCCAGCTCCCCCAGGCCAGCCCAGCTCCCCCAGGCCAGCCCCTGCCAGGCACTCACCCCCTTGCCCAGGCGCCTTTTGATCTCGTACTTGCGGCCCACGAGCGGCTCCACCTCGGGCGGGCTCATGGCGGCGCCTCCCTGTTGGCTCCCGCTGCTATGGCAACGGACCGGCGCACCGCGCATGCGCGTATCGCCGCGGCGCCCGCCAGGGGGCGCCGTGAGCGCGGGTGCTGAGGGAGGAGAAGAAGCGCGGGAGGGAGAGGAGAGGAGAGGGGAGAGGAGAAATGAGCCCCTTGCAGGGTTCCGGGAGAGCCGGAGAGCGGCTTGGGGCACGGGCCTGGAGGGACAGCACAAGGGGAATGGCTTCCCACTGCCAGAGGGCAGGGATGGATGGCATATTGGGCAGGAGTTGCACCCTCTGAGGGTGGCCAGGCCCTGGCCCAGGGTGCCCAGAGCAGCTGTGGCTGCCCCTGGATCCCTGGAGGTGCCCAAGGCCAGGCTGGATGGGGCTTGGAGCGGTCTGGGACAGTGGGAAGTGTCCCTCCATGGCAGGTTGATAGAACTGGACGAGTTTTAAGGTCCGTTCCAAGGTAAACCATTCTGAGATCCCGTGGCAGGTTGATGGAACTGGACGAGTTTTAAGGTCCGTTCCAAGGTAAACCATTCTGAGATCAAATTATACTTCTTTGGGGTTATTTTTGCCCCCAATTTTGATCCTTCCTCCCTACCCCCACCCAATTCCAGTTTTTCTGATGAGGCTAAAGTTTATTTAATGACTCTTTTCAGTGAAAGTTAACACTTTTGTCATGGTCTCTAGAGCTTTGGTTTTTTCCTTGTGTTTTATAGCAGGTAGAGAAGATTTCTGATCTGTGTCCAAATTAGATGGTTGAAATCAAAATTCCCAAACCGAATGCACTCACTAGATACTATGTTGTGACTTTTTAAAAATGAGGATATATGAACATGGATTTAGTGCAACGGATTTGAGTGACTGTAAATGTTTGAGATACAACTTCAGTTTTGTTAGTGAACTGGCATGCAGGGATTTGGATTGCTGGTATATGCTTCCATCACTGACTTCATTTTGTGTGCAGGTTTCTTTTCTATAATAACGAATTCTGACTCTTACAAAGAGGCTTATTCCTCTCAGCCCATTATTTTTAAGAAACTTCATTCAGTTTAGTTTTAAATGTTCATTTAGGATTCCTGAAGGGACTCACTAATTCCTTTAGGCTGAATTGTTTCTGTCTACTGGGATACATTTATCTGCCTTATCCTGCTCAGAGACATAAAGCTGTGTGTGTGCACTTAGCAGCAGACTCCAAAGTTCAGGTCTGACTTGTGACAATTCTGGATTAGATTGTGGACAATTGTGACTTAGTTGTGCTGTCCTGTGGATGGTGGTGATGAGAAGAACCCTTGCACTGTATGAACTTCTGCTCAACCTCCTAATTCTTTGTTAACTTGATGTTTAAATTTTATTTTGAGAAGAAACTTTAACTTACTGTAGTGAAATTTTCTGAATTGTTAAAGATTATGAATTTTAAAGCAGGATTTGTGTGGTGTTTTTTCTGGTATTTTTCTCCTGGGTAAGCTTTTAAACAGTCCAGAAAATATTTTTGTATTTGAATGTACTGTACTCACTAAGAACAATACAATCTAATATTTTCACACCTGTTGGCTGTTTATTAAATACCATTGTGGAGAGGGGGTGGGTGCTAATTTACACTTTCATTACCTTTTTTTCATTCACTTTACATTATTTGAGTCTTGTCTGTTGAATAATACACACAGCTGCATGAAAATATTAAATGAGTAATTATCAGACATTTGTGCTGAAAGATTTTCCCTGAGAATCTTGATGTTTCTGTCTTCTCCAAATGCTTCAGCTCCTTCTGATTGAATATTGCATTTGCAGATTCCAGATGAAAACTCTGTTCTGCATTAGTAATTCCCAAAACTCACACAGATTTAGCTGGCAATTGACAAAAGCAACTTCTCAAAAGTAGAAAACTGTTCAAGTCTGTGCTGTCCTGTTGGAGTGAAACAGCAGCTACTCAAATAACAGCATGGATTTGTGTAGGAAGCGAACTAGGAATTTGTAATTAATTTAAAATTTAATTTTAATTTTTAAAGTTAATTTTTAATCTACTGACCGAACTAGGCCACGCCCACAGTAGCCCCCGAGGGGCCCCGCCCCCAGCAGGCCACACCTCCAAGATGTCGTCGGCAGAGCACGGGAGGTTCTTCTGCACGGCGGGACGCGGGCTGGAGCCCTTCCTGGCGCGGGAGGTGCGGGCGCGGCTCGGCGCCACCGAGGTGAGCGGGGAGCCGGGCTAGTGACCGCCCGGGCGGCCCGGTCCGGGTGAGCCGGCGCCAGTGACATCCCGGGCTGTCCGGTCCGGTCCGGGTGAGCCGGAGCCAGTGACCAGCCGGGCGGTCTGGTCCGGGTGAGCCGGAGCCAGTGACCAGCCGGGCGGCCCGGTCCGGTCCGGGTGAGCGGGGAGCGGGAGCCAGTGACCAGCCGGGCGGTCCGGTCCGGCTCAGCAGGGAGCTCCGCGCCCGGAGCCCGGCGAGCACGGCCCGAGCTGTACTGCCCCCGGCGCGGGGCTGGCCGGGGTCGGAGGGGCTCACCCTCAGGGAGCCGGGGCTGCGCTCGCCCGGCCGGGTCCGACGGGTGTTCTCCCCGCAGGTGGACTGCGTCTCGGGAAAAGTGTTCTTCAGGGCGGCGCCAGTGACATCCCGGGCTGTCCGGTCCGGTCCGGGTGAGCCGGAGCCAGTGACCAGCCGGGCGGTCTGGTCCGGGTGAGCCGGAGCCAGTGACCAGCCGGGCGGCCCGGCCCGGTCCGGTCCGGGTGAGCGGGGAGCGGGAGCCAGTGACCAGCCGGGCGGTCCGGTCCGGCTCAGCAGGGAGCTCCGCGCCCGGAGCCCGGCGAGCACGGCCCGAGCTGTACTGCCCCCGGCGCGGGGCTGGCCGGGGTCGGAGGGGCTCACCCTCAGGGAGCCGGGGCTGCGCTCGCCCGGCCGGGTCCGACGGGTGTTCTCCCCGCAGGTGGACTGCGTCTCGGGAAAAGTGTTCTTCAGGGCGGCCGCGGGACCTGGAGAGCTGCGGCAGCTGCGCTCGGGGGAGCGCCTGTTCCTGCTGCTGAAGAAGCACAGTCCGCTGCCGGTGTCCGGGAACAGAGGTACGGACACGGGAAGCCTTGGTTTGAGTCCTGGTTATAACATTTGAAGTGTTTAGGTTTTTACTGGTGGCTGTAGTTCTAATTGACAGTAATCGATTATGAAGTGTCTTTCACCCACGTGCGTTTTCAACATTTTTTTGACCTGAAAAGGGCTTTTAAATTGTTTTCCATAGCTACCTTGCAACCTGTATTCTGCTGGTACTGAGTGTATATCTGTATTTTAAAGACCCTTTCCCCTGCCCAGCCCCAAAAAAGAGAATAATAACCCACCCGAAAACCAAAGTTCACTCCTGGATCTCTTGTGTTTATTTTAACAAGTCTTATTTTCTGTTAAACGAAGTGAATCCCAACCTATGTATTGTGTCAATTTACTCCTAAGTATGCAGCATCCTTCTAAGTCTCAGCTGCTTGGATCATGTTCTCTGTCAGTGTTGGAGTGAGAATTTCAGGTTAGATGGATTGATATCTGCCTGCTGCTGGATTTTTATTTGGGAGATTACCTTCAGCTTTGAGGATGAAATTTGATTCTAAGATTTTAAGTGATAACTAGAAAGACCTTTATGTTTTTTCCTTGACCAGCTTTCATGTATGTAGGTGAATTGGCCTCTGTGTTCCTCATGCCTCTCTTGTGGCTAGCTTGGGACTGCCCACACATGTGTTGCAGGATTGAAGGCACAGTTATGAATGGGAAGCAGAAATTTTCTTTCTGAAAGAATAAACTTGGTTTTGCCTGAGATGACTCCAAGTAATTCATGTTTGTATCTGTCTTTCAATTCTGGAGAGTGTTCTGCATCACTTAAACCTGGATCAAGTGCTTTCTGGGGAGGGTGGCATGGTAGGCTGGTGCTCTGTCCCTGGGAATGACTCTCATAGGTGCTCTGGTTTTCTACAGCTGCTGAGTTCTTGTGCAGAATTCAACCCTTGCGTGATTTAGTCTTGGTTGAGCAGTGCTGGTAATCAGAGGGGCGCCTCTGTGGCTCCTGGTGGGTGATGAGAGCTCAGCTGTGCCTGTGATTCTGGACTCACACGTGAATGAAATCTGAACACAGCTGCTGTGAACACCTGTGCTCAGTCCCTAGGGAAGTGAAAAGCCGAGGATGAGGTACTTAACCCAAAACTGCTTTTTTCTTCTAGGGAAAATGCTTCATGAGATTAAAAGCCTTGTCATTGAGGACCCGAAATACTGGCTGGACATTATCTCTGTTTGGAGAAAGCTTCATGGACACAAGGGGAAAACAGATTATGGCTCTCAAGAAAACGCATTGGCTCTGAAGAGAAAGTCAGAAGAAGAGACAAATACTGCAAGTAAAAGGCAGAAAACGAAGCAAGTGAAGGCAATTGTGTCTGAAGAGTATCAGGTGGGAGCTGGGGAGACCTGTGAGGCACCAGACAGAATGAGCAGGCAGGAGTGCTGGACTGAGAGCAGGACTTCCTCAGAATTGCCTTCCAGAGGCAGTGAAGAGGATCCTGCTGCCAGTGAGGAGCTTAACTTCAGCTTCAGGGTGTCATGTCGCTGCAGTGGAGCGATTGCCAGAATACTGACTTCACAGGTATGCTGAGGTACCTACTTTAAAAGAATTCAGCAAGGGTGAACAGAGATGTGTAGTTTGTCATTTCAGTTGTGTTATGTCTTCTGGAATAATAAACTTATGTGAGCTTTTTCTGTATTTTCTCAAAAAGCCCTTAACCTGCATTCACCTTAAACAAGTGGAAATACTGTTTTTGATTTCTCTGCACTATTACCCTTCATGTTTTTCAAATCAATACCTTTTGTTGAGGATAAGCAAAGGTAAGAGTGTGAGGTTCTGGGCCTGTGGAGGCTGAGGAGGGATGGGATAAGTTAGAGCTACTTGAAGGGCCATTGCAAGGACCGTGGGGCCTGACTCCTCTCAATTGTGGCAGTCTGGATGAAGGGGTAAAAGCCAGAACTCACAGTTTCAGTTGCCTCTGACTAGGTATTGTGGAGAATTTGTTCTTCAGGAATACAGCCCTGGGAGTCTTGGTCCTTAGGAGAGAATAGTGGCATGCAGTCCTCCGGGGTCTGTTCTATTCAGCCCTCTTCCCATCTGGGCAGGTTACTCTTACTGGAAGGTGTCAGTAGTTTAGGTTTTTTTCCTACTAAAGCTAGCACCTTGGTGAGGTGAGACACATGAGCTTCCCTACGAGGGTGTTTGCCTAAATTTGTGCTATGTTTGAACCTATACTGTAAAGGTAATCAGAGCTTTCTATATATAATGAAAACATTAATACTGTGAGTTGTAGTTGTGCATTTGCAGGTTTTCTGTTGGGTAATCTGCCTTAGAGCCATTGGAAGTATTTTGTGCATGTGATTAAGAATTCCAAAATGGTGGCAGTCACAGAATATTCTGAGTTGGAAGGGATCCACAAGGATCAAGTCCAACTCAAGTGAATGTTTTATTGTCACTTGGCAGGACTGGAGCTTCAGCTTCTCCTCTTGCTGCAGCTGAGTGTTGGTTGTTTACCTTGTGCCATGTTTGCTTTGCCTCTCACTCACCTGCTCTGCCCTGTTGCATCTCTTCTGCTGTGAGTTGTGTGAGTTACTCTCTTAGGCATAGACTCTTCCCCGGGATTTCTGAGGGTTGTGCATCCGAGGCTGTGCTCTGCAGTTTTCCCAGTTCTATGTTTTTTTGTGCCTGTGACTGTTCTCCCCCTCCTAGGAGGTCGGAAGAGCCATTGGCACAGCGCTGGTGAAGCAGTGCGGGTGGCGTACTGATCTGCGGGACCCTGACCTGGAGGTAGGGCTGCTTGTGTGCCTATGGATGCTTCCAGACTCACCCTGACACCTTTGGTTTTGTTCTCTGCCCCCTTTGCACGTGGGACCATGGCCTGTCCCTGCTGGTCTTCCTGCTGCTGAATTTACCTGAAAATCAGCATGTGTGTGGCCCTGGTGTGTGTGTGCCTTCAGAGCTCTGGCATGAACCCCTGCCTGCATGGGAGGGGAAGGATCCCCAGAGGAGGAGTTTCAGGATCCAGCACCCTCGCAGACTGCTGGACTCTGACTGTGAAAATGGAATTCACCTAAGCCGTGGGTGTCTGTGGCCTCTGGAGGGGAAGGGAGCAGGCATCATAGGCTGTTCTCAAGGAGCTGGACTTGAGAATATCACATACAAGGCCTGGGGGTTATGTTCTTCCACAAATAGCAAACAGCTCCCTTTGTGCACCCTTGCTGGTACTGCTGCCCAGAGACCTTCCAGAGGATTCCTTGCTCCTGACAAGGAATGTTTCTTCAGGGATGTTTGTCCATCCCTGCCCTTGGCTTGTGGAAGCTGCTCTCAGCTCTGATGCTGAGAGATTCCAGACCTGCAGAAACTCTGGAGTTCATTTCCTGGTGCTGGTGCCCACCCTGAGCACTGTGTACTATGTACAGCTTTGGTGAGGCTCACCTGCACCTCCTGTTCTTGCCCAGACTTTTGCTCTGAAGCTGTTCAAGTGCTGAGGACTGGGATTTTCCAGCAGTGTTGTGTTTCCCTTCGTGCTTCCTGGGGCAGGGATTGCAGTCATGCAAGACCTGCTGGGGAGCTCAGTCTTCTTTTGGGATGTTCTCTGTAGGACAGCAGAACAATTTCTTGTAGCTGCCTACAGCTACTTGTTGTTGTTTGTTTTGGGTTTTTTTGTTTGGTGGGGTTTGGTTTGGGTTTTTTTTTGGGTTCTTTTTTTTGTTTAGTTGGTGTTTTTAAAAATGTTTATTATTTTGTTGCTAGTATACAGTGAATAATATTCTCCCACTTGTAGTAAATGGATTTATAACTAAAAATTCCTATGCTGTGTTAAGGAAAAATAGGCTCCCTTATAAATTCAAGTGCTTGCTGATGGATTCCTGGCTGACAAAATCCCCCTCAGCTTGATTAAGCATTAAATAATCTGTAAAGTGGCATTCAGATCAACTAGTGGGACTTCTCCCAATTAATTGTTGTTGTTTGTAGTATGGATTTTTGTTCTTAAAAACTGGAATCAGAGGTTTGTAGAAGCATCTGTGTCTGGTTTAAATAAGTTAAAGGTATTGTTGTGTGAGTTTGAGACTTTAAAATGTTGGTGTTTTTTTTTTCCTCTTCTAGATCTTTGTACATCTTAATGACATTCACTCTGTGGTGGGGATTCCTCTTTTCAAGTAAGTGTTCTCCCCACTGTGTTGGGCAATGTCAGAACAGACAGGATTTGTAAATCTTGCTATCTGCCACGAGTATTTATCTTTTGGTTTGATAATCACTTTTGTTAAATTAGTCTTGTGATCTGCCTGGGTTTTAAATGAACACACAGACCAGACTTTGCAGTGAGTTATGGTTAAAAGCAGACTTCTCTGTCTCTCAGGAGATCTGTCCATTTCATTTGTTCTTTGACATTACATGGGCTTGTCTGGGTGGTTCTGCTGCTGTTTTAGTTAACTTTTTTTGGTTTTTTTGCTGTCTGCAGGCTTCCATTGGCAAACAGAGAGTATATCAGAACAGCAGGACTGCGGTCAACAGTGGCATGGGCCATGGCATCTCTGGCTGAAATCAGGGTCAGTGAATGTTCCTTGTGAAGAAATGGGTCCTGAACGAAGGGAATGGGGTACTGCTCATGGGGTCTGGGGCTGGGGAGGAGTGGGGTGATTCCAGTGCCCCATTCCCTGGGAAGGAGTGGGGTGATTTCAGTGCCCCATTCTCCCTGTTCCCTGGGAAGGAGTGGGGTGGTTTCAGTGCCCCATTCCCTAGTGCCTGTGGCCAGGGTCTGCCATGCCTGTGATGAGTGTGCTGTCACCGGCAGTTCAGCCAGGTGTCTGCTGTAACTCCTGGTGCTTCTCAACAGAGCTGGTAATCCTTGTACAGATACATGTCTAAGTGGCAAGCTTTTTTCTGCTGTTCTGCAACAGTGAAAAAATGAGATGTTGTTTGCTGTTGTTTTCCAAGGAAATGTGGTCTCTTTTCACAGTGGTACCAACATCTGTCTGCAGTCCACTTGTAATATTTCCTCCTGAATGTCTCCTCCTCCTCAAGCTCCCCAATAGCTTCACACTGTCTGCAGTGAAGTTATTGGTGCTTTTCACTATATTCTCTTACAGGCAAGTTTGGCCAGGGATTACCAGAGATTCTTGTTAACCTGTGCTGGGTTCAGTGGGATTGTGCACATCCCTCTGTGAGCTCTGTCCTGGGTAAGGAGTTTGGCATGCTGGGGATGTAGTAACCCCTCTGTTTTTGTAGGCTGGTGCCCTTGTGCTGGATCCCATGTGTGGGTTAGGAACCATCCTGCTGGAGGCTGCCAAGGAGTGGCCTGTGAGTATCCCAGTCCCAGCTGCTGGACCCCTGCAGGGAAACTGGTACTTGTGGGACAGGGTTTTCTCTCTGCCAGTTAGGCCAAAGCCCATTGCTGCCTGGAAAGGTGAAAACAAACCAATCTTTCTGGGCAGCTGCTAGAAGTGTTTCAGTACAAAGGTTCCCCAGATGAATGTGTCCTGCAGGCTGGTGCAGCTGGTGATTCCCACTGCAGGGTTTGTGTGAGGCAGCCACGAGCTTGTGAAGTTTCCTGGGGTTGGAAGAGTTGGTGTCATGGGACAGTTGTCAGCATTAGGGGCAGTGGGGCTCGCTGTACCTAGCTGGGGTCGTGCTGTTAGGACATGCTCTTGGTATTTCTGTCATTTCAAGTGTCTTGAGCAGACCACAGCATTGAAGGAGTGGAGACAGCACATACTTCTGAACATGAATATTTCTGAAGATTAAAAGAATGGAGACAGCACATACTTTCTCCGTTGCTCCACCCTGTGGGTTGTGGATTGCTTTTTGTAACACCAGCAGATGTCCCAGAAAGGGGGGTGTCTTGCAAGAGCTGTACAACAAGGCAGTTCAAGAAGGGTTAATGAAATAAAGAACTAGAGTGTTCACAAAATTACTTTTCTCTCTCTCTGGACAGGAAGCCTGTTACTGGGGTGCCGATATAAGTGACTCACAGTTAGAGGGTGCAGATGGCAATATCAGAGCTGCAGGCTTAGTGGATAAGATTGAGCTGCTGAAAGCTTCTGTGAAAGGTATGTCTGTGGGATTTCCAGGTGGCTATTTTGTATTTCTGGGATTGTACAGGTAGGTTTCCCTGAGGTGATACGTTGCAGAGCTAACTCCCAACAAATAGCTGGGTTGTGGCTCTGGTACTAGTGCTAGTGAAGGGATAATTATGAAGGGAGGTACTTCCTCCCTGCTGCCTGTAACTTTGGTAAAAATGAAGTCAGCATTTTATCTTTTATCATCTTTTTATTGAAGACAATAAAATTTACAATTGTCTGCCATGGACAGTAATTCTCTCTTCATGGTAAATGTGTGATTTACCACCACAATACCATAAAGAGTATGTACCATGTGAGATTTCTTTGTATCTTAGTGGAACACAGCCAGGACAAATCCAAATGAAATGCAGCCTGTAAGTTAAATTTACCAGGTGAGTATTGGTGAGGACACATTAAGCTAAGCTGCATTGTTCATGTTTTGCAGTAGGAGTATTTTGAATTATGGCTCCTTTCTCCCGTAAAAGGAAGTCTGTTTACTCTTGGTTTACAAGCGATTCTGCAGAGAAGGAAATAATTGTATGACCTTATTCTGGACTTCAGAGTCTGAGGCTAAATTATGCCTATATGAAATCCATGACAGGCAAGCTGGCTGAGTTTCCCTGTGCATGAGTGATGAAGTGTGCATATTTTTTTTTACCTTGCAGTATTTATTTCTTACTGGAATGGTAAGAAACATTATTGATTTTTTATAAAAATGTAGGTTTATTTCTCACTTAAAAGCTGTGTTTGACTTTGGTTTCTAGGATAATGGAAGGTACTTAGCTGTCAGGTTTTCTAAACTGAGCAAGTTGGCTGTAACTTCTGCATGTCTTGAGAAGGGCTGTAGGTGGTGTGTCCTTTCATTTGCAGATAAAATTGATACCCAGTTGTTGTGCTGCAAGTGTTGACCCAAGAATGGTCCAGGAAACATCTCCAGCTAGTTGTAGAAAAGTTGGCATAGAATCTCATAACAGTTTAGGTGAGGAGGGACTGTTGGAAGTCTTTAGTCCTGCTATCTATTCAAGGCCGTGTCAAGCGCTTTTGGAGCACCCTGAGGGATGGAGGACCCCAGGGTCTGTGCAGGGCCCAGGCCTGCTGGCCTGCACAGCCTGGCATGGCATGGAGAACCCTGGGGATCCCAGCCTGGCCTGCACAGCCTGGCATGGCATGGAGGGACCTCCAGGGTCTCAGGAGGGATCCCAGCCTGGCTGCACAGCCTGGCATGGGATGGAGGGACCTCCAGGGTCTCAGGAAGGGTCTCAGCTGGCCTGCACAGCCTGGCACGTGGCCAGCCTTCATCACCACAGGCGCAGTGCTGCATCTTCCTTAAGGAAGCTGACCTCAGCTGGGATGCAGAAGCTCTGAGGTGGCCCTTCAAAGGCATGAGCTCTGACAGGATCCAAGTGATTCTGGCTGTAACCAGATTCCTTGAGGGAAGAAAACTGGCATGGAGAGGAACTGGAGGTGGCTCCTTGCCATTCATACATGTGCACTTGAACATTTGCACTGAGTAAAGTGCTCACAAATGTAGCTCTTTTGTGTTTTGCTCAACGATTTGATTTTCATGTTTAAGATGTACTGGGTGTTGAGAGGCAGCAGTTAATCTGGGACCGTGTAGTGCCCTAGGAGAGTCTTGCTGCAGGGGCAGACATCCTCAGGAGTGGAGACTCTGCAGACTGAACGGTGCTGCCACGCATTTGTCTCCTGCCAGTCTGCAGGGGGGTGGTGTCTCCATGGTGGAGTTCATGAGGGCAAGTGCAGAAGGAGCTGTGAATCTGCATAATCCAAAATGTGCCTTATGTGAACGTGCATAGCCCAAAAAGAGCTGGCAGGCAGTGTTGAAGGGGGAACAGGGGCAGAGCTGCTGTGCATTTTTCACACAGTCAGAGATAAGTAAAGACCTGCCTTTATTCTGCAGCACTGCCATTGCCCTCAGAAAGCTTTGATAGTGTTATTTCGGATATTCCATTTGGGAAGAAGTTCAAGACCACAAGTGATTCCCGGCTCCTACCAGATCTTCTCCAGGAAATGGAGAGGTACGTGTGGCCTTTGGCACCCTCATGGGTTTGATGGAAGTGCCATAATGGTTTGTGATCTGAGCATTCAGCCAGCTTCAGATCTGCTTTATTCCATAGTCCCCAACTCTGTAGTGTGACCCTGTGCAGGCTGTGGAGGTCTCAGCCCATTACTTGTCCCTTGGAGGCTGTTAGGTTGTGTTTCACCAGCTGTGAGCTGCCAAGGGAGGATCCAGTGTGAGCCGTGCTCTCAAATGCTCTTTGCAATTCACAATTGGGAAATGTTTCTGAGCCATACTCCAGTGTGGCAGAAAGGAGAAAGAGGAGAGGCCTACCTGGACAAAGTTAAAGCGTGGCCAGGCAAATAAAGCTATAATCTTTTTCTAGTTGAGGCCTGCTTGTATAAATTGATAGTCTTTTCTTTTTGAGGTCACAGCCAAGCTTTGACCAGCCTGCCTTGGCAGGAAGGATCTCTAGACTAGAAGAAGGGACATGCATTGTCCTTGCTATTCAGGAACGCCTCACTAGCAGCCTGGGCTGGTTTTTGGTGTGTCCTTTCGTCTCTCACCATGTTATTTGGTGGCAGAGTTGGGCCAAGCTGATAGCTGGGCTGCTTCTAACAGACAGGTCAAGCCATCTTCCCCTCTACTTCTTGCCTGAAAAGAAGCCCTTTCTCTAGGACTGCTCTTCAGCAGATGTTGATCTTACTCAGCCAATGCAGGAATGTGGTGGGAAGGTGATGGAGAAGGTTGCATGGCTCCACAGAATGGTATGGCAATCTTGTTTTCTGGCCTTATTTGCTCTATTGGTCCATCCTAAGTAAAATATTCCCTTAGGAAGGTGGAGATGAGGAAGGGGCCATGAGAGCCCCACCAGTAAAGCTGTTCAAACTACTTACTGTAAACTGAGTCAGGATAGTATTTCTTTTTCCCTTCTTTCAAATCACATGTAATGTTTGGACATATACCTAGAAAAATTAATTGCAAACATTGATTAATTTTCTTTTGCTTCTTGAGTTTGAAAGCCATTCAGGATCAGTGGAACGGGGCAAGTTCCAAAAGGCTGTTTTTTGAAGTTTCCGAAAGGAAGGGCCAGTTTCAGAATTACCATGCTAATCTGAGCAGCCCTTGCTGCACTGGGAGGCTGTTCCTTTGCAGTCTCCAAAAACCCTGGGCTTGATGGTGCCCTTGATCCTTGAAAGAATGCTGAGTGTGGTAAAAAAATAGTTTCTCTTCCCTGCCAACCCAATAGAAAGAACTACTAACATCAGAAATGTTTTGGAGTCAGGACAGGGCCCTGTTCTCCTATTTGGAAAGAGGTAAGAAGATGGGGGATTTAAATTCCTCTTGGAGGTGCAGCTCACTGAGCTGAGCTGTGACACACTCAGGTGTTTCACTGAATGCAGATGGCATCTGAAGTGTCAGTAGTAGCAAAGTTCTGCACAGGCAAAGGGATGCCAGAAGGGATCAACACCTAACCTTTCTTTTTCCTGTGATTGCCAGAGTGCTTCGTGTTGGAGGGACCCTGGTGTTGCTGCTGAGCCAGGAGCTCCGCAGACACGTGGATCGTTTGACCAGGTGTGCTGGAGGTGACCCTGCTGAGGCCTCTGCTGATGGTGACAGTGGAGCAGCCCCTGCACAAGCCATGGATGGTTTGACCAGGTGTGCTGGAGGTGACCCTGCTGAGGCCTCTGCTGATGGTGACAGTGGAGCAGCCCCTGCACAAGCCATGGATGGTTTGACCAGGTGTGCTGGAGGTGACCCTGCTGAGGCCTCTGCTGATGGTGACAGTGGAGCAGCCCCAAGTGTGGTTGGGAATTCCTCCTCCTTGGCCCAGGGGTGTGGAAAACCTGTTCTCAGCAGACATTTTGGGTCTCTGCTGCCAGAGGGTGTCTATGCCGTTAGCCTGGGCAAGACTGATGCTTTCATACACAAATACAGGAAGGTGTCTGCTCCTGGGAGCAGCAGAACTGGGACTGAGAGCTGTCCCAGTACTGGTACACTCCCTGGAACTGGGAGCTCTCTGGCTGTGGGCTGAAGGGAACTTGAATGCTTTGGGAGCAGCCTCTGCTGATGCAGACACATCCACTGCCATCCCTTAGATTGCCTCATGTCCTTGGGAAGTCCTAAGGCACTGTGCTGTTCTGTCTCTGGTTTAATAGGAGAGGTGGAAGCTGCAGTATTTCTACTACAGTATTTCTACTGTATTGGATACAGTGAAAGCGGATATAGTGTATTGTAATGTGGCAGAGTCCTCAAATCCTTGTTTAGGCAGAGCTGTTCGGTATTGGGAGGAGTTTCTGTGGGAGAGTCTTGATTTGCAGAACTGCAAAGCCAGATGTGGTAGCTCATGATCTTTGGGCTGTGCACTCCAGCTATTCATTTAAAAGCAATGTTTAAGCTGCAGCTTTGTCTATTCTAAGTATTCTTAGTGTTCAGGTTGTTCTTAGATGGAGGATAGGTGTGCCCCCTGAGATGCTGAGCAGGAAGGGAGGCCAGAAGGACAAGAAGCAGCAGTGACAGCTGGAGTTGCAGCCAGGCCCTGGGCCCTGACCCTGTTTTGTGTGTCCTGGGTCCTCCCTGCCCTGCCTCTCCCTTTCTCTCCTGCACATTTGTGGCACCTTTTTTTCTTCCCTGTACCTTTTCTCTTGGTTCTTCTGTCTCATCAAAATAGGGCTTCTAGAACTGTACCAAAGAAAGGGCCCAAGGCAATACTGAAATCACTTTCTCCTTTGGGTTTTAGCATCCTTTGTACAAAGGCTGAGATAGCAAAAACCAAAAAACATTGCATGTTTTCTGTGAGAACTGAACATGAAGATTTCTCACTGCTTTCCTAAGCTATGTCAATCTGCAGGAACACTGGAGGCCTTTTGAGGAGGGAAAATTAGGATAAAATACATTTCTGTATGCTTCTGTGTCAAGCTTTTGACTGAAGATCACCTTAAAGAGCAGGGTTGGGTTTAACAATGTTATTTTGTTGACTTCAATGCTGTTTCTCTCAAATGTTTTTAATGAGAAAAGTAAAAAATAGGATTATATTTGCATTTTCAAACACACATTTCTGTCCTAAAATATCTTGTAGTTGTTAATGTATATTTTTACACCTGTGCAGTTTATGATAAAGACTTTCTTTTGAAACTCAGCAGCATTTTGGACTAAGGCAAACTTTAAGGGCAGGGTTTGGGGGGAGGTTTGTTTTTGTTTGTTTTATTTTCTGGTTTTGTTTTGGTTTCATTTGGCTTGCCTTTTTTCTAACACTGAGCGTATCAAAGAAATCAAGGAATAATGTGTAATTGTAGTTTGAATTCGTTACTTTTTTACAAACAATTACTTTGAACTCTGGTTAACTGTATTTATCTAGTGTGGTTCAGTATTCTTCAACCATTGTGCTGTCAAAAACATTTAGAAATGTCTTGGTGAGAATTTTTGCTTTGGTATTTTAGAAGAAAGCAGCTTAGGCCATGTTGTGCTGCCCACATGCAGCTGTGAGACATTTGTTCCTTGCCCATGAGACATGGAAGGATAGTTTTGTGTTGTGCTGCCAAGCTCTGTTTGTGTATTGTAGTGCCTTTACCTATGTCCTAGGGCTATTTTTGGTCCCTTCTTGGCTTTTTTGTATGAAAGCTGATTTTTCTAGTCTTGCAGCACCAACAAAAAAGGAATGTAAGTAGCACTTACAGTGCTAATGTCACATCAACCCTCATTGTTTGTAGGTACTGCATTTTTGGAGGCAATTAACTGATATCTTCAGTCTGTTGCTTTTTGAAGTTGTTGGATGTTTGGGGGATTACAGTGTTGAGGCCTGAACATAATGATGTGTGCCCTGTAGTCATACCAACACTGAAAATTTTCCAGGTGTTCCCTCTAAGTTTCTTTGATGCTGAACTACAGACACATTAAAAAACTATGAAAAAAACCCCATTCTGTGGAAAAACACACCCTAAAGAAACATCTATGTGTGAAATTCTGAGACTTGCTGTAAGTATAGATGAATTCTTCTGTAATCACTTGGATCATATGTTATCTATATAGCAGCCATACAAAAATAATAGAGCTGCTCTTCACAAAACTGTTTTTCTGAGGAATAGCAAGCAAAGTTTTCTGTATTTTGTCAAAGCAAGTCAACTACAAATACAAATAAATACTTTTACATCAGTACTTTAAGATACAAAAATACGTGCAGCTCTTTGGAAGAAATTAGAAGTGAACCCAGACCTTTGCAGATATTTTTTCTTGTACAATATACACACTCTAGGAACTAGATACATTAAAATTATATTTTAACAACAGTAGACTTATGGTAATTCACTGTATTCACAGAATATATAGAAGCAGACTGAATAGATTCTCAATACATTCTGGTATTGGATAAAGTTCTGTGTTAGATATGTAAGAATATAATTTTAAATGTTAATGCCATTATGTTGTCACAATTCTTTTAGCTTGAGGAGAGCAATAGATTAAAACTGATTTATCAGGGATTTTACAGTCAGGAGCTGTAATTTAACCAGAAGTAAGGTAATTAGAGATAGATCCCAAGCTGTGCCTTATCAGATTATAATTAGTCTTCTTTGAATAGCAGATTGAGACACAGTTGGTTTGTTACATATTGCCATTCAAAATATCCTAGTATTAAATATAGCTAGTCATGTTATTACTGGCACACTGTGCTTGTGTAACTGTGGACATCAGCATATCTGAAATAAATACAGATTTTCTGCTCATACTTATTTATGTATTGAAACCTGTAAAGTTTCTCATTTTTGTATACAGAAAAAATACTAATTTGTATGTAGATGCATTTTAAAATAAAAATATATCTATTCTATACAAGATTTTAGAATATAAGAAATTATATGGAGGCCCCTTCTGGAGGGGGGCTGTATGTATGTAAATGGGATTATTAAACCAACATCCTGCTGTCTGGACTAGTTTAATTCATTTTGTACCACCTTTGGGGGTGAGTAAAAAGGATAGAAATTGGAGTCTGGGTGGTGATGATGTAATTTGGGGCAGCCCAGTGTCACTGGGAGAGTGAAGATGCAGTGGAGGAGAAGGTGAGTTGGGTGTGAAAGGGGTTAGGTGGGGTCCTCCCAAAAATGGAGGTTACAGCCAAAAAACGCTTGGAAGTTTAGGGGCTGTGTTTGTGCAAAAAATATTAAAATTGTAGCCTTCCTTATCTCTATATAAAAAAAAATTTTTTAAAAATTACTTGCAACTACAATCCTGTATCTACTGAATTGTATACAAGGATCTTGGAGTATAAGAAATTCTAAATATAGATACAGAGGGTTTAAAAATGCAAGTATAATTTTATGTATATAATTTAAGGGCTTGAAAATGGAATAAAGTATCTCTGCGAAGGCAGTAGAAATAGCTGTCAGTGTTCAGAGGGTTTTCTGTCTGACACAGCTGGAGATCTCAGCCAGGACGGAAATCACTGCTGCTGCCCGATGATGAGCACGGCGTACTGCAGCTCCCGCGGGAAATGCCACACTCAGAAAGGTGTCTATTGCCTGCCTGAACCCGACCCAGCTCTGACACTGCCACCGTGCTTCTGGTGTGATTTTCTGCCACCCTTCCTGGTATGGGGACACGGGTGGCAGATTCAGTGGTGCTGGAGACAGGCAGGAGATGCAGTGGCAGGTAGCGGTGGGGTCAGATCTGATTCTTTCAATAAAGTTGAATCAACCCTAAAGCAACCCCCCCACCCTTTGGCTCCTGTCTTTCTTTGGTGTGCTTCAGTCATTTTTTCCACTGTATTTCTTGCTTTGCTTTTCACCTTTTCAGTCTATTCCTCACTTCACTTTTCTGTTTCAGACTTTATTTCTGTCTGTCTCTAACTGCATCTCTAACTCTGTTTCTCTTTCTCACTATTTCTAACTCTATCTTTTCTTCTCTATCTCTATGACTATTTCTCTATTTCCCTCTGTTTCTCTGTTTCCCTATTTCACTTTCTTTTTCTCTATATACTTTATACTTGAACTCTGTTTATTTTTCTCTCTAGCTTTAACTATTTCTTTTTCTGTCTATTTCCTTTTCTCTCTTACTGTATCTTTTTCACTCTATTTCTTTTTCTATTTAACTTTTATGCTATTTCCTTTCCTCTTCAACTCTATTTCTCTCTAACTGTATTTCTTATTCTCTCTATTTCTTTTTATCTCTAAGACTATTTCTAACTTTTCCTTTCTATTGATACAATACATAGTACAAATTATACTATATATATCTTACTATAACATATATGTCATATATGTTGTCTATCTAAATATCGTACATCAATATATAACCACTTGTTAATGTGAAGGTAAATATCAAAAATATAAATGTAAAAATATTTAACTATAGTTTAAAATAAAGGGGTTTTTTGTTTTTAATTTGGCAATAGGCAGGGTTTTTATAATAAAAATTATAAATATACATAAAATAAAGGTAGAAATCTAACTATAGAAATATATAATAAATATATAAAGATATGCATAAAAATTAAAAAGCTAAGTAAATATAAGTATTAGCAGTACATATTATATATACTATTAATAATTTATCTATATTACATTTTTATATATATTATATATTTATCAATAGAATACATCAATAAAACTATAAATGCAAATGTGAATATAATTATGAAAAATAAATAACAACGATTTAAATATAGTTTAAAAGAAAGGGCTTTTGGTTTTTGTGGTAGAGGCAGGGATTTTATTTTAAATACTATGAACATACATATCTTGATATAATTCTAAATATAGAAATACTAAATATCTAAATATATATAGAGAAAAATAAAATATAAATAATTATGAGTAATAGGAAGAGATATAATTTAGAATGTAGATAACACTACGTCAATATACATTTTAAATGCAAATGTGAATTTAAAAACATGAAAGACATAAATTTAAAAAAATTTAAATGGTATAAAAGAAAGCTTTTTTGGTTTTTATTTGGGTAGAGAGGGGTCTTATTTTAAATTATATAAGCATTATAGAAATATAAATCTAAATATAGAAGTATATAATCAATATATATAAATATGTATAGAAATAGAAATAGAACTAAAGTAATAGGAATAGATGTAATATAGAATAGAAATTACATTATACATCAATATACATTATAAATATAAATATGAAAAATACAAAAAAATATATTTAAATATTGTCTAAAATAAAGGGGTCTTAATTTTGGTTCTTATTGGGTTAGAGGCAGGTTTTTTATTTTTCTTCCGGGTGGTTTTGGGGCATTTTAGAGGAGTTTTTGGAGGGGATCCCCCCTCTTCGTTTCTGGCCCTCCCCTGCCCGCAGCCCCGCGGCGTGCGGAGCCCCCGGCTGAGGCGGGCGGCAGCGCCGCCGCCTTGCGGCCAGAGCGCGGTACTGCAGCCTCCCGACAGGCAGGCGAGAGGCGGCGGCGAAAACGCCTCTCTGTGCCGCGCTGCTGCAGCGGCCGACGGCGTGGGGGGGGCTCGGCCGGGACGCGCTCGACCTTCTCAAGATGGCGGCAAAAGAGCGGGAAAACGAGGACCTCGGTCCGTCTGCTGGAGTGCCTGCACGGTACCCCGACGCCGGCGCGGCCCCAGCCGGATTTTCTGTGTCGTTTCCAGTGCCGTGGACACGGACTGTACGCTCAGCGGCGCCGCGAGCGGGCGTATTTCGGTCGGTTGCTGACAGGCATCGACGAAAACATTTCTCTCTGCCGAGGTCCTCTCGCTGTGGACATATTGGGAGTGGCGCGTCGCGGACTTGCTTGACCTTCTCAACAGGGGAGGGCGGGAAAAGTCCAGTTTAGCCGATAATAGCCGAGTTTAGTCGAAGAGCCGATGATAGCCGAGTGTAGCCGAGTTTAGCCGAAGAGACGAAAGTAGCCGAGTTTAGACGAAACAGCCGAGTGTAGCCGGTGGTAGACGAGATTAGCCGAAGAGCGGATGATAGCCGAGTTTAGCCGAACCGAGCCGAGTTCAGACGAAGAACCGAAACAAGCCGAATTTAGACGAAAAGCCGAATTTAGACGAGTTTGGACGAAGAGCCGAACCAAGACGAATTTAGCCGAGTTTAATTGAACAGAACCGAATGTCGCCGCCTTCAGACGAATCGAACGAGCTCAGCCGAACCAAGGCGGGACCAGCCGAACCTTACGACCTCGACCGAACCGAGGCGAACCTCACAAGGCTGGTGGAACCGAAGAGAGCTCCGCCGAACCAAGCCGCCTGCTATCGTGACCATTAATTAGCGTGAGTGCAGTCACTGGCTAATGAGCTCCTGCCCACCACGCGATGCCGTCCGTGTCCGTCTCCTCCTCCCGACACGGCAGCAGGAGAACACCGAGCTTTCCGTGTTTAACGTGAGGAGGCGCCGCTTTACCGGCGGAAAAGCGATTCGCCGAAGAGGCGAATCTCGCGGAATGCAGCCAACAATAGCCGAGTTTAGCCGATAACAGCTGAATTTAGCCCAAGAACCGGGTTCCGCCGAACCGAGCCGAGCTCCGGCGAGCGCAGCATCCCGGGCAGGGCGGGGCGGGCTCGGGATGGAGCCGGGACTCTGTGAGGCTTCCCCTCCTGGCCCCTCTCTCTACCCCTCCTTCCTCCTGCCCGTATTCCCCTTAGTTATCTCCCTTTCCCCCATTTTCCTCTATCTCCCAAACCCGGATCCTTCCTGTCCCGTCCCTACCCCGCTACTCCGTTCTGTTCCCACTCTCTCCCTCCTCTGTCCACGGTCCCTCTTGCCCCGCTCCCTGGCTTTCCCTTCTCCTCCCGCTTTCCTCCCCAGCACGACGTCCCTCCGTACCCTTTCTCATCCCCTGCTATCGCTCCTCTCTTCCCGTCCCCATTGTGTAGTATACTAAAACCTGACAAGTTTTTCGAGTTTATAGGTGTTGGTAAAGAATAGGAATTTGTCTCTAAATTCATTTGGATAGAAACCCTCTCTCTATCCACTCGTTTGTACACAGGAATGTAGGAAACTGTGACTAGAGATGGGTAGTGGTTATGAAAATATGGCCATAACGTTTCTATCTAGGAATGAACCAAGCTGTGCCCTGGATTGCATGTACACGTTTTAATCGTGTAACCAGACAGACTAAGAAAAGCCAACACCCGTAGTAGATTTCTGTTTGGTCTGTGTCTGTGAGAAGCGGGCTGTGTGCTGGAGAGGGAGAGACGCTGTTGGAGCGTGGCAACAGCGCCAGCTGTGAGGATGATGAGGGCTTAGAGCAGCCCCAGCTGTGAGCTGTGAGGAGGGGGCGGCTCCTGCCGGGGGGAGGCTGTTTTAGGGGAAGGGTTTGCCTGACCTCCCTTGTGCCTGGAGCTGCTGAGTAGAGGGGTTTATGGGCGGCTCCCGGCGCTGTCTCGTGGAAGGACGACCCTGGTGCCGCCAGAAAAAAAACCCCAAACGAACAAAAAAACAAAAAAAAAAACAAAAAAAAACCAAAAAAAAAAAAAAAAAACAAAAAAAAAAAAAAAAAAAAAAACCACAAACCCCCCAAAAAAAACCCCAAAAAACCCCAAAAAAAAAAAAAAAAAAAAAAACCACAAACCCCCCAAAAAAAACCCCAAAAAACCCCAAAAAAAAAAAAAAAAAAAAAAACCACAAACCCCCCAAAAAAAACCCCAAAAAACCCCAAAAAAAAAAAAAAAAAAAAAAACCACAAACCCCCCAAAAAAAACCCCAAAAAACCCCAAAAAAAAAAAAAAAAAAAAAAACCACAAACCCCCCAAAAAAAACCCCAAAAAACCCCAAAAAAAAAAAAAAAACAAACCCCACCAAAAACCAAAAAAGGGAGGTGTGGTTATGAGAGAAAAAGAAATTTTAAAGAAGGAGGGGGTGTT